CACCATGTGGTTGCTGGGAATTGAACTCAGGACCTCTGGAAGAGCAGTCAGTGCTCTTAACCTCTGAGCCATCTCTCCAGCCCCCAGTTACTTCTTGTTGTTTCAATTTCACTGACTTCTTTCCTTGTTGGCCCCACAGAGCCTAGACATGGAGGATAAGGACTATTGTGAGGCCGATGGCCTGTCGGAGAGGACTACGCCCAGCAAGGCCCAGAAGTCACCCCAGAAGATTGCCAAGAAGTTCAAGAGTGCCATCTGCCGAGTCACTCTGCTTGATGCCTCTGAGTACGAGTGTGAGGTGGAGGTAGGGAGCGCCCAGTGCCATATGCCCCACCCCGGGCCGGCTGGCCTCCGTGCCAGGCTAGCTCCTGTGTGCCCGGAGTCCAAGCCAAGCCAGAGGAGGACCAACTGCGGTGTCCGGAGGGATGGCTTGGCCTGGTACTCCCTTGTACAGATGGTGCCACTAAGGTCCAGAAAGGGTCATCACTGTTGCAAACCAAATTAAGACCCAACACAGACTGGCACCAGGAAAAGGTGTCTCGGGGAGGCTGTGCCTTGGTAAGAATGTTACCATTGAAGGGCTGATATGCAGGGCTGACCACAGAAGGATAGTCCCACTGTGATTCTGAGTTCCTGCACACACACACACACACACACACACACACACACACACACACACACACACACACGCCGCTTGGCCTCGCACCTTTTGAGGCCATCTTCTTCTTCTCTCATCCCTGAGCCTTAGGTCTTTGGCTTCCAGCTTCTTCTCTTGATTTCTGACAAGGAGAAATCTCCAATATGCTCCCAGGCAGGTCCGCGGTCTAGGAAGACCCCGGCAGGGCTTGTGGGGGAGACCTAGGTGAGGTGGACATTAGAGACCCCGAGAGTGGGGCCAGGTGGCAGGAGTGCTGAGGTCCTCCCCAGCCACAGGGAGGCTCCCGGGGGCTCTCGGTTTGTCCAGGGGAAGCTGGGTCAGCCCCCGGCCCCACCTGCGGGTACGCCAGCCTCACATAGCTCTTCCCTCTCCCTCAGAAGCACGGCCGGGGCCAGGTACTGTTTGACCTGGTCTGTGAGCACCTGAACCTCCTGGAGAAGGACTACTTCGGTCTGACCTTCTCTGATGCCGACAGCCAGAAGGTACCTGGCCCGGGTCTGCTGTGGCGGGTGGGCAGGGAGGCGGTCCCCTAGACCTGCGGTAGGCACCCTTCATTTCTCCATCAGCAGCCCTGACCACTCCCAGTTCTCTGGCCCACCTCCCTGCCCCCAGACAGGTACCTAGAGAGCGATGATGTGGCTGTGTGGTCTCCCTGGGGAACAGAGCAGTCCTCAGTCAACGCCTTCTTCCCACCCCGGGGGTTGGGCAGACTGACTCACTGTCCTTCTAGCTAAAGCTGCAGTACCTGGTCACTGTGGCCGTCTCGGGGCAATACCAGCCTTGATGCTGTGACCAAACCCTGCTGGGAATCCAGACCTCACTCCCTAGTGCCAAGTAAATCAATCTCGGCCACGGTGTTCCCCATGAGAGTCTGTGGCTGGCCACTTCCGGGTAGTCATCTCTCCCAGTCCCACCCTGCCCTCCCCCATCTTCCTTCTAAAGGATGAATCTTTGATTCTCTTCCAGAACTGGCTGGACCCTTCCAAGGAAATCAAGAAGCAGATCCGGAGTGAGTTCTGGCTTGTGGCCGATGTGTGTGTGGATGGGTGGGCAGGGCCGACTTCGGAATGTGCTCCTCGATCCAGATACTCCTCTGCCATCATGACAGGTCTTAGAGAAGGCAGGGCAGGATGATGTTGTCTGAGGCCCAGATCACAGAAATGACAGGTCAGAGCCACACTGCAAATTAGTGAAGAAGCTGTAAATGCATTCAGGAGGTCAGCTCTGCAGAGTCATCCAGGACAAGGGGACAAGCAGATGACCTGGATGGTGTAGTAGCTAACAACCCTTAGCTTAGGTCTGGAGAGTGGCAGGAACTTAACACAAGGTCACAGAGCCAAGTGCTGGCTGAGCCAGTCTTGAGCCCTGGCCTATGTCTTGCTCTCATTTCAGTGCCCGGGGAGGAGGCAGGGGAGCAGGTCAGCAACCTGTCTTTCCTGGCCCAGAGAGAAGCAGCATGTTGGGAGGGCTGAGAAAGCTTTCACATAGTAGAAGGGGGAGGTTGGTCCCTCAGCGAATGGGCCTGTAGTAGGTGGCGAGCATCTCTGCCTCCATCCCAGGCCCCACACACCCTGGATATGCTTGAGCTCTTCAGGGTTGGACTCTCTGGCCCCCTGGCTGGGAAGCTGTAGCTGAGTCCGTTGCCATGACAGCAGGCAGCTGGCCCAGGGAAGCCAGCTGACTCCACAGGAGGGGCTTGAGGAGATTTTCCTCTAGGTTCCTGACAGTTGGAGACAAAGAGGCAGGCGCATCGGGAGAGCATACTCCTGCGGGTCAGCGGGGCTCTAGGGCTGAATTTTAGGCTGTCTCTTCTAGTAGTGCCAGCCCTGCTGGGAGGCCAGCCTTTCATGCTTTGAAAGAATTGGTACAGATACAGGCAGCCAAGCTGCAGAGTTTAATAAAGACCAGTAGCCTGGAAAAGAGAGGCTGAATGGCCAGGCCCTAGGGTCATTCCCCAGAGCAATCCGGGAGGCCCTGCCCGCCCGGCTTGACACGTGGACTATTGTTCCCGCGATAGCTCAAGCCATAGCCTGCACACCTTGTAGCCTTGGTCCTTAGGAAGCGCCTCCTCCAGAGGCCTGGGGAGTTGGCTCAGTGGGCAAAGTGCTTGCTGCCCAAGCCTTAGGACCTGAGCTCAGATCCTCAGCGGCCAAGTAAAGTCAGTCGAGCAGCACACATTTGTAGCCCAGCTGAATTCTGGGGGTTGCTGTCCAGCCAGTCTAGCCACACAGATGAGCTCCAAGTTCAGTGAAAAACCAGCCTCAGAAAAAAGAGGTGAAAGTGGATGACCCAATCCTCGTGCAATGTCGGGAGCACTCACTGGACTCAGGGTGTAGTAAAGGAAGAAGGGAGGACATGAAGGTGAGAAGGAGGCATGTTGGGGTGTCGGGGGAGTGGGGGTGGATATGACCAAGACACACGTATATATGGGTGAAATTGTCAAGACTAAGTAGGGCTGAAGGGAAGGCTTGGTGGCTAAAAGCGCTTGCTGCTCTTTCAGAGGACCCGGGGTTGATTCCCAGCACCCGCCATCTGTAACTCCAGTTCCAGGGGGAATATGACGCCCTCTTGGGGCCTCTGCAGGCACTGCATGCGTACGGCGCACTTAACATACAGGCAGAACTCTCATATGTATAAAATAAAAATAGACCCTTAAAAACAAAGATAACAGCTGGGCCATGGTGGTGCATGCCTTTAATCGCAGCATTTGGGAAGCAGAGGCAGGCAGATCTCTGTGAGTTCAAGGCCAACCTGGTCTACAGAGTGAGTTCCAGGATAGCTAGGTCTACACAGAGAAACCCTGTCTCAAAAAACAAAACAAAATAATAATAATATGGTAGATAGCATTAGAAGAAGACATCAACCCCTGGCCTCCACATGCACATGAACAAGGTACGCACACACACATGCACGCACGCCCACACACATCCCCTTCTCTATTAGGGCTTTGCCTTTGCCCCAGGTCTCTGAAATGCCCACCTGTTCATCCCAGTCCTGTCCTTTGTCCTCAAGGGAGCAGTTTTGCCTGATTTCTGTGGTTGGTCATATCCCCTCACCCTGGGTGGTGGCTTTATGAGCCCTTGTGTCCTGGACTTCAGAGATAGGTATCTCTCCCTTCAAGCCTCATTGCCTGTCACCCAAGACACCTTGGACAGTTCCTCTGAGTCTCTGATTCTTCTTGGCAAGCGGACTAGCCGCCCCTGCCTCCTGAGCTGAGAGTGACTGCAGGGAGACACGCCCTTAGACATTGCCAGACACGGTGGCTGTTTTCTTCTGGACCCAGCTTGGATGTGAATTCTAGCTCAGTTCCCACTTTTTGTGTTTCATAACTGTTCCGTGCCTCAGTTTCCTCTCTGTAGAGTGGGGTCATGCTAACACAGCTTTGGGACTGCTGAGGGGGTGAAATGGGGTCGCACATGTGTGACGCTCGCACAGTGCCTGCTCCAGTGCTCCCAGCATGCACTGGCTCAGAGCACTGTCTACTGGCCCTGCTGTTCTTCCTTTGACCCGGCTTGTGTCCCTTGAGACTCTTTCTGAGGAGTCTTTGTGATTGAGAGCCTGGGCTCTGAGGTCGGATGCTAGAGTTTGGAAACCTGTTCTCTGTTACCAGTTAGTTGATTGATCCTTAAAATCTTTGTCTATGAAAAGGAAACTCAGGCTGGGAAGGTATCTCATTGGCTTGCCTGGCATGCTTATGGCCCTGGGGTTGAGTGGGAGTGCTGTAAACAACACCCAAACCAACCAACCAACCAACCAACCAACCAACCAACCAACCAACCATCCAACCCATCAATGAAAACCTCACTCTCAGGGTGATTGTGAAGTTTAAATCCCTATGCCTGTGGGGAAAGCTGGTCACCTTTGTTGCCTGGGACCTCCATGTTCTCAAAATCATCGTTTAGTGAAGCAATTCAGTGCATACGTGTGGCGTGCACAGTTGTTTTTCTTTCTTTTTATCCTCTTTCCCATTGTTAGCTCACAACTCTCTCGGGAAATGTATCTTATTATTTGTGTGTATGTGGGGGGGCAGTGTGCTATAGCACACATCTGGGGGTCAGAGGACGATTCTCGGGAGTTTCCCCTTGCACTGTGGGTTCCAGGAATTGAACTCAGCTCTTGATCAAGCTTTCATGGCAGGTGCTTTTACCCCCTGAGCCACCTCGCTGGCCCAACCACCAATCTGTTAGCCTGGGCCTCAGTTTCCTTATCCATCAAATGGGAATTATTGTCCTAGAGAGGGAAGTCTATGGAAGGTTGCTCCCAGGCTAGTGCGTCTGGGATGGCCACTGGGATGACGCAGCCTCGCTGACCTTTCCTGCCTTTTCCTCTTAGGCAGCCCCTGGAATTTTGCCTTCACAGTCAAGTTCTACCCTCCTGACCCAGCCCAGCTGACAGAAGACATCACTAGGTGAGGACTGTGAAGAGGGGGGGAGATGGGCTGGTCCTGCGGAACTGAGTGGTGCCAGGCGCGCTGGCCCTGGGAGATGAAGGCTCTCTATGGTCGGAGTAGCAAATGCAGATGCTTCTCCCACACAGACCATCTCAGGACCCAAATGCACCGACTTTAACCCCAGAGGAGATGTCAGAGGGGTCCCTGGGGTCCATTGTACATTTACAAAGACAGATGTATCTAAAATGTTATTGTGGTGTGGCAACATGGCTTATCAGGTAAAGGCTTGTGCTGCACAAGCCTGGCACCTTGAGTTCAATCCCTGGAACCCATGTAAAGAAGGAGAGTTGGGTGGTGGTGGCGCAGCCTTTAATCCCAGCACTTGGGAGGCAGAGGCAGGCGGATCTCTGTGATTTTGAGACCAGCCTGGTCTACAGAGTGATATCTAGGACAGGTACAAAACTACACAGAGAAACTCTGTCTTGAAAAACAAAATTAATTAATTAATTAAAAATAAGACGGAGAAAACAAGTTCCACAAAGTTGTCCCCTGCCCTCTATATAAATGTCCTAGCATTATTACTCTGTCCCCCCCACTGCTAACATATTTTTAATAATAAAAGTGATTTCTATCAGGCTCTGGGAAATCACTGGCCTGTAGAAATTGGGCCTAAAAGTTGAGTAAAGTTAGATATTTAGATATTTGTGTTTGAAAAACCACACATTTTAAATCTTCACGGTAAACACAAGCCTTTTCTAACTAATCGCAGAGGGGACCTTCTGTGGGTCAGCCGACCTGGCAGACGTGGTCTGATGCTTTGCAGGGAACACCACAGTGTTGAGAAGGAAGGAAGAGAGGCAGGGGGGGAGGGGGGGGGATTTGGTCCTCTGTGCAAGCCGGGCGCGTAGCGGTGAAAGGAGCCATGTGGGCCCTGTGGAGGCTGCCGGGGCCGCCAGGGTGAACATGGACCACGTAGGTTCAGATGGCCTGAGATTGGCAGTGGAGACAGAACATCCTTCAGGGTAGGAGCTTGCATGGGCTCATTCTGCTTCTGGAAAGCAGAGCAAGGAGAAGCCTCTCTCTTTAAGTCCTGTCAAGACAGGGCCTCATTACGTGACATCCTGCTCCAGCACCATTCACGGCATGAGACTTTTACGCCCAAAGTAAGACGTGGGCTTGGAGTTCTGCAGAGGACGGGACTGCTAAGCTGCCCTCGCTCTCCCCCACTTTCCTCTCTTCTGTTGGGGTGCTGGGGCTTCAGCCTAGGGCCTTGTGCATGAAAGGCAAGCACTCTACATGAGCTGTATCTCCAGCCCTCTTTTTATTTAAACATTTTTAATATGTATTTTTATTTATGTGTACATGTCTGTGTGAGGGTATGCCAAGTGTATAGGTGCCTGTAGAAGCCAGAAGTGGGTTCCAGATCTCTTGGAGCTAGCATCTCAGGCAGTTGTGAACCACCCTACATGGGCTATGGGAACAGAACCCAAGTCCTTTGGAAGAGCAGTATGTGCTCTTAACCACTGAGCCATCTTCCCAGTGCCACTTTTTAAGAAATTTTGAGACAGTCTCACTAAGTTTCCTGGGCTAGCTTTGAACTTCTGACCCTCCTGCCCCAGCCTCCTCAGTCTGAAGTTACAGGCCTGTACAACCAGGCCTGAATATTAGGTCCATTTTTAATGCCTGATACCCACTGACTAAGTAATATACCAAGTTCAAGATGCTGCCTCTGGCCTTGGGAGAGACGGCAGACCTTCTAGAATAGAGCAGATCCCAGGCCTTGGCTTTATTAGTCCCACTCTGAGCCCTGAGGTCTGCGTGGGGCCAAGGTGACAGCAGCCATATCCCAATCCAGAGCTTCAGGCCAGCATAACCGCCAGAGTGTGTCCTCTCTGTGCCAGACCCTGGGTAATGGGCTTCCAGGGATGCCAGGAGGAAGGTTAGCCCTGTCCAGCACAGATGGTTCCAGAAGGTAGGGTTGTAGGAGCAGCTGATTTAGTCAAAAATAGTGAGTCCCAAAATAACCTGGTCAGAATGACAAATTGATTGAGATGAAGGATTGGCTAGAGTTCTGGCAATGATTTTTGAATTTTTAGACTCTTGAACAAAATGTCACAGACCCATGCTGGACTCCTGTGATGCGTGAACCTGAGCACACGCTGATGCTGCATGTGACCATCGCCAGGGCTTTGGCTCTGACTTTGAAATAATGTCACAGAGCACTAACAATTCTAAGTCAAGGCACTTTGAAGGAAGAGACTTGGGTAGTTAGTTTGCCAAAACATTGGCAGAACGTGACAGAAAAGGACAAGGAGACGGCCCTGGCTGGCGGTGAAGCGGCCTGTGCCTTGCGTCAGTGACCAGCGGCTGCAGAGGTGGTCCAAATGACTTAAGTGGTAAAACCATCCAACTGTGAGTGTAAGCTGCAAAAAGTCACAGCCTGGTGGCTGGAAATGCTTCTCTACACCAATTTGGTTTTTAAACAATTTACTTATGGCTGGAGGCAGAAGAAAGTTTGGGGAGAGAGCCAGCAAGATGGTCCAGCGGGTAAAGGTGCTTACCACCAAGCATAGTGGTGCGTGCCTATAATCCCAGCACTTGGAAGGCTGAGACAGGAGGATTTGTATACAACAACAGGCTGAGACATATCATGAGTTCCGGGCCAGCCTGGGTTACATAGTGAGACTCTGGCTCAAAACCAACTCACTGGGCTAGGGAGGCAGTTCAGTGGGTAAAGTGCTTGCACACAGGTATGGAGCTGAGTTTGGATCCTCAGAACCCACGTGTAGTCAGACTTTTTCGTCAGGACTGCTGGCTCCCCAATAATGACATAGAGACTTATTATTAATTATAAAAGCTTGGCCAGTAGCTGAGGCTTGTTACTAACTAGCTCCTAAAACTTAAATAACCCATTTTTATCAATGTACTTTCTGTCTTGTGGCTTTATTACCTTTACTCTGTACTGCCCATGCTGCTTCCTCTTTTTCTGGTTAGTGACTTCCTGCGATTCTGCCTTCTTTTTCCCAGTGTCCTCTCTGCCCCGAAAATTTTGCCTGGCTATTGGCCATTCAGCTTTTTATTAAAACAATCTGGATGACACATCTTTGCACGGTGTAAAGGAATAATCCACAGCACCCATGTAGAAGGACAGATGTGGTGATATGTATGTAATCCCAGTGTTCCTGTGCTGAGGAAGTCAAGACAGGAGAACCCTCAGAAGCTCCAGGGCCAGCTATGTTGGTATACACAGCAGCAAACAACAAAAAGACCTGCCTCCAACAGGGTGGTAGGCAAGGATCAACAATCTAGATTGACTTCTGGGGCTGGAGAGATGCTCAGTGGCTAAGAGCACTTCTTGCTCTTGCAGAGGACCCAGGTTCAGTTCCCAATACCCACATGGTGGCTCATGACCATCCATAACTCCGGTGTCAGGGGATCTGACATCCTCTTCAGATCCCAGTGGACACCAGGTATACACATTGTGCGCATACATACATGCAGGCAGAACACTCATTCACATACAATAAAATAAATAACTCTAAAAATTCTTCTCTGGCCAGGCAGTAGTGGTTCACACTTTTAATCCCAGCACTCGGGAAGCAGAGGCAGGTGAATATCTGTGAGTTCGAGGCCAGCCTGGTCTACAGAGAGAGTTCCAGGACAGCCAGGGCTGTTACACAGAAAAACCCTGTCTCGAAAAACCAAACCAAACCAAAAAGCAAAAAGCAAAAATTTGTTATCTGCCTTCCACAAGCAAACCATGGTATGTGTCTTTTTGCACACACATCTTACACACATACATGCACACATACACAAAACGATCCAATCAACAAAAACGAATAAACAAAACTACAAGTCATTTTCTCCCCCAAGGGCCAAAACAGTAGTAGTCCTGTTGAGCTTGGAAATGAATTCTAAATCTCAGAAATTCTCTTAGAAGAGAAAAAAAATTCCTCAAATTCAGAAATGAACAAAAATGCTGGAAGTCACATGGCATGTCTCAAAACCTGTTCATAGGACACACTACTCATTAGCAATGAATGCCAGTGTCTATGGGCACCATTTTCCAGAGCTGATTTTGATTGGTTCCGGCAGCCCAGCTGTCAGGGTCTGGGCCCCCGGGAAGTGTAGACCCATGCCCACCTCTTTCCCTGTCTCCAGGTATTACCTGTGCCTGCAGCTGAGGGCAGACATCATCACAGGCCGGCTGCCCTGCTCCTTTGTCACGCATGCCCTGCTGGGCTCCTATGCTGTGCAGGCTGAGCTGGGAGACTATGACGCAGAGGAGCACATGGGCAACTATGTCAGTGAGCTGCACTTTGCCCCAAACCAGACCCGGGAGCTGGAGGAGAGGATCATGGAGCTGCACAAGACATACAGGTGGGTGCCTGGCAGCCCCCTGCCTGCAGCCCCCTGCCTGCAGCCCCCGCTCAGGTTGAAGGGCTGGGCCCTGAATGCTGTATTTACATATACCACTTGACTCTGCTCCTAACACGAGGTGCCTGGGACTAACTGGGACTGTCTGTATGGCTGCAGGTGACTTGAATCTCAACTTCTTGAGTTCCTGTGGGGGTAAAATTCCCTGTCCCGAGCCTCTGGGGATCAGTTTTTGTTTCTCAGTTATAATAATGGTGGCATGCCTCTGGGGAAGGGCACTGATTTTTTGGCAAAAAATCCAAAGTTTAAACGCAAATGCCAAACCTGACTGTGCCTCTTTCTAACCAGGGAATGTTGACAGGTCATTTACTTCACTGTGCTTTGGCGGGGTCAGCTATTCAGTATGGTGCTGGTCAACATGCCCCATGGGGTTATTAAGGAGGCCACACAGCAAATATTAAAGCCATGTCACGTGTGGGCTGAGTGTCGTTATCCATCAATCGGGGCATTTGTGTTGTTGATTGCATACTTTGTTGAGATGTTGATTGCATATTTGTTGAGTTGTTGATTGAATACTTTGTTCTGGAGTTAGAAGATAATTGGCCAGATGTGTGATTGTGGGCTAGTTACTGAACCTCTGTAAGCCCCATTTTCACCTATAAATACACAGGCTGAGATGATGAATGTTGTTTAGCCGCTGGAATTTGAGACAGCAGAATTCATCAAGCAGGATCTTACACTTCCTTGGGCTGCAGACATCAAATGCCCATAACACCCCTAAGTAATTGCGACAATGGGAATACAGTCCACTGCCATTACCCAGTTCCTGCTCTGCAGAGAACACTACCTACCCCTGAATCAAAATGATCTGGAGGTTCCTTTTTAGCCGGAGGTGCTTTGGTCCACGCTCAAGGTTGTTATGGGAACCTGATGTGAAAATACATCCTAAAGAGTACAGTGCTGCACCTGTGGGAGGCACTCCGATGACATTATCTCATCCCTACGCATGGAGGGAGTGGGGAGGGTTGTGTGCTGTGGGCTGCATCTGGAGAGGAGGATCCTGGCCAGATGTGATGAGTTCATACATGGGGATGAACCTGCCAGGTGCGATGGATGCTGGGCCAAAGATGGCAAATAAATGCTCTCAGAGATTTGCACACCAACATTGCTGGCTTCCCACTGACTGCCATGGAGTCCTGCTGAGTAGGAGACAAGCAGTCATGGCCACCAGACAGAGGTTGAGGGTGCCACGCCTGCTGTCTGCTCTTCTTGCCTGTCCTAGATAGCAAGGTGGCCTGGAGATTTGTAAGAGGGATAGTAATTCATAGAAGGACAGATCAATATGTACTTGATCAATGCCAGCAGTGGTCATCATAACTCTTTGACTTAAAGCATAGTGACTTCTGGCATCCGTGAATCCCACACAGAATCTCCAAGGCGGTCAGGGCAGAGAAAATGGAGCCAGAGAATGCAAGAGACAGACTTGCTTTCGAACACTGAGTCTGGAGCCACATTGCCTGGAGTTAAATCCGGACACTGCTGTTACTTAATAGCGGTGTGCTCTTCAGCAAACTCACGAATCTCCCCCGGCACTGGCCGCCTCATCTGAGAGTGGCACCTGCCCTACAGACTGGACAGGCTGAAAGGCTGCGTCTAGGTCAGACAGCAAGCAGCACCAGAGTCTTGATGATGCTTGCTGTGAGCGTCAGTTGCAGCCTGAGCTCCCTGGCAGCCAGAGCAAAGACGGAGCTTGATTTCCAACACAACTCATAAGAAAGGGGCCTGAGTGCCTGTACTTAAGGGAGATTAAGTGGCCCCGGACACTGCCGACTTCCGAGGGTGGTGTGAGGAGCCCTTGGGTGAGTCTAATGAACACTTCTTCAGTGGTCTTCCCAGCCACGAGAAGCAGGATGTATGAGCTTCGTACTTACTTTGGTGGGAACTAAGACAAAAATCCTGACTCCCAATCTAGCCCTTGTCTGCTTCTGGATAAAACAAGACTGGACCTGAGTGTGACAGAAGGCGGGCTTGGTGGACTGACGTAGAGGAGCTCTCAGTCCTGTCCTGGGCACAGGGGAAGGCCTCGGGCAGGGCTCAGCCACCTGCCTTTCTGGGATGGCCAGTTCCGGTGGTGCAGCCAGTTGGACTCAGCCTGGCCTTTGCCACGTCCCACAGTCATCCTTTCTTTCCTCAGGGGCATGACCCCGGGAGAGGCGGAGATCCACTTCCTGGAGAACGCCAAGAAGCTGTCCATGTATGGGGTTGATCTGCACCACGCTAAGGTACCACTGAGTCCCAGCAGCCCTCACCTTAGGTGTTCCTGGGGAACTACGGTCCCTCCAGAGCTAGTGTCTGGATTGTTTTGTCTCCAGCTTGGAACCTTTGGGGTTCTCCTCTTAAAGTTAATAACCTCTTATTCTCTCAGAGCTTTATCGTCTCCCCCTTGGATTCAGTTTCCTCTCAAATCTAGTAGTTTGTACCACCACTAGATTGGGTGCGTGTGAGAGACAGACCGAGGCCTTAGCTTATTTCTGTCTCAGTAGCGTGCGGCACATGGCCACTAAATGTTTGTCGAGTGACTGAATGATTGACAGAGCAAGTGACTGAAGGAGTGGGTGGTGAATCCATGACTAAGTAAGAGAGCATGTCCAGATGACTGTGGGGAATATTAGTTGAGGGCCTCCAGCCTGCGCGCGCCCCACCCCCACCCCCGGAGCCCATTACAGGAGGAGCAGGGTGTCAGCAGGCTGCCTCTGCCTGGCTTGGACTCCCATCCCGTGCTCTCTCCTTGTGCAGGACTCAGAGGGGATCGATATCATGCTGGGTGTCTGTGCCAACGGCCTGCTCATCTACCGGGATCGTCTGAGAATCAACCGTTTTGCCTGGCCCAAGATCCTCAAGATCTCCTACAAGAGGAGTAACTTCTACATCAAGATCCGGCCTGGGGAGGTGAGCCCGGCCGAACCCATGCTCTTCGCTCACCGCCTGTCTTAGTTACGGTTTCTATTGCTGTGAAGAGACACCATGACCAGGGCAGCTCTGATAAGGAAAACGTTTCACTGCGGTGGCTCACTTACAGTTCAGAGGTTCAGCCCGTTACCATGGTGGGGAGCGTGGCAGCGTGCAGGCAGACGTGCTGCTGGCTACATCTTGATATGCAGGCCACAGGAAGTCGACTGACACACTGGGCGGTATCCTGGGCATAGGAGACCCCAAAGCCCGCCCCCACAGTGACACACTTCCTCCAACAAGTCCATGCCCACTCCAACAAAGCCACACCCTATGAGATTATGGGGCCAATTACATTCAAACTACCACACCCTCCACTACTTGGTGTTTGACTGAACCTAATAAAGAGGACCCCAGCAGCTGGCCTGGCTTTTTCCTACCTAGAAGACATGAACAAGGTTCTAGGGTCCATGGAAGATGGGTCTCCCTCCTCCCTGCCTCTCTACATAAACTACACACCCTGGACATATGACTTCACATATTGTTTATCTTATCTGTTTGTGTGTGCGTACATGCATGCACATACATGTGCATATGTGCTGTGATGCACATGTAGAGGCTGGAGGTCAGGTCCTGTGGTCATTTGGTGTAGACAATTTTCTCATTCTACCATATTGGTCCTGGGGATTGAACTTAGGTTATCAGGCTGAGTGGCAAATGCCTTATCTGCTGAGCCATCTTGCCAGCCCTGGATGTATGCTTTCAAGCATCATGTGTGCATGTGAACATGTACAATCACACATAGGATTTATGAGCAAAATTAGAGTGACACCCCCATGGATTCAGAACACAGAAAAGTTAATACATGTCTATCTGCGTGTACAAATTTGCCTATGTGCAGAAGTCCGCTGTGTCTGTACACCAAGACAAGCCCAGGCACGTGATAACACACGTGCACACAGAGGCACGCATCCACTCCTCTTTCCCTTTTACCGCAGGGTCTCATCAAAAGCCCTTTTGATTCTGTTGCTAGAGTAACCATGACCCACCGGCCCTCCTCATCACTGTGCCAGCCACAGCAGCCCCTGTCTGTCACCTGTGTCTCTACACGGTCCCTTTCGTTGACCTCTTTCCCTTATATCAGCTCCCGTCACACACCACCATCCTGTCACACACCACCATCCCATCACACACCACCATCCCGTGACCCACCCTGTCACCCACTGCCATCCTGTCACATACGGCCATCCCCGTCACACACCACCACCCTGTCACACACCGCCATCCCCGTCACACACCACATTCGTCACTGTGAACACCTGATAGACTCTGCCACACCGGGGAAAGACTTGCTTTGGCTCACTGTTCAGGAGGTTTAGTCCGTGTCGGATTCACCCCATGACTCTGGGCTCATGGAGAAGCAGCACGTCATGACATGAGGGCATGAAGGTCTAGAGTGGCCACGTGTGGTCAAGGCATAGAGTAATTAAGGAGTAGACGCCAGCATTTGAGGACACGCCAGTGTCCAGAACTCCCAGCGGGCCCCTCTTCTTTCTTTTTTGGTTTTTGGAGACAGGGTTTCTCTGTGTAGCCCTGGCTACCCTGGATCTCACTCTGTAGACCAGGCTGGCCTCGAACTCACAGAGATCCGCCTGGCTCTGCCTCCTGAGTGCTGGGATTAAAGGTGTGTGCCACCACCGCCCGGCTAGGCCCCACTTCTTAAAGGCTTCCGTTACCTTCTGGATGCACCACGCTGGGGATGGCGTGTTTGGCACCTTCGCCTTGGGGGACATTGTGGACCCCGCCATAGCATGACCCCCTTCTTCAGTCTCAGCACTAAGCTCATGCATATGGAGGACAGTCCTTTCTCTGACAGCTCCACCCACGCCTGCCCAGCAGATCCTTCTTTCCTCTCATAGCTCTTACCCACATCTGCAATCATATTATTCATTCTTCTTCCGTGTGTGCATGCGCATGTGTGTTGTACATGAGTGTGTGTATGGGGTGTACATGAGTGTGTGTGTGATATGTACCTGAGTGTGTGTATGGTATACATGAGTGTGTGCTAGTGTATGCATGAGTGTGTGTGTGGTATATGGTGTGTATATGAGTGTGTGTTTGGGTATATACATAAGTGTATGTGTATAGGTGTGTACATGAGTGTGTGCATGGTGTGTGGCATGTACATGAGTGTGTATAAGTGTACATGACTGTGTGATATGCACATGAGTATGTGGTGTATACATGAATGTGTGTGTGGTGTGTGCATGAGTGTATAAGTGTGTACATGATTGTGTGATATGTATATGAGTGTAGTGTGTACATGAGTGTGTGTGTGAAATGTACATGAGTGTGTGATATTTACTTGAGTGTATGGTGTGTACATGAGTGTGTGTGTGCGTGTGTGTGTCTGTGTGTGTGTGTGTCTGTGTATGTATGTGTTCAGGTGGGGGCCCAGGGTTAATGTTGGAAATCTATCTCTCATCCTCAACTGTTCTCCCACCTTATTCAGTGAGCAGGGTCTCTCAGGCAGAGCCAGAGCTCACCAGTATGGCTGGTCTAGCTAGCCAGATCGCTCTGGGGTCCTCCATTGTCCCCCTCTGGGGCTGCAATTACAGGTGGCCTGCCACACCCGTTGGCCTTTTATGTAAGCTCTGGGGATTTAAACTCAGGTCCTCATGCTTGAGAGGCGAAGGCTTCACCGCTGACCATCTCCCCAGCCCCATTTAACTATTCTGAGACCTCCTGTTCCCTAGAATCTTGTGTGTTGATCCCTCCAGTGTCTGCAGTGTTTAGCACTGGATCTGTCATAGGAAAGGGTCAGTCCACGCTGTTTACATGCGCGAACAGGCTGAAGTTACACCGTGTGAGGAGAAGGTGAGTAGGTAGCTGGTGGCGAGTGTGGCCCAGGCCTCATCTCTAATCCACCCTTCTCGACTTCCCAGTACGAACAATTTGAGAGCACTATCGGCTTCAAGCTCCCTAACCACCGCTCAGCCAAGCGGCTGTGGAAGGTCTGCATTGAGCACCACACATTCTTCCGGTGAGTCAGTCGCCCCTGGCTGGGATGAGAGGGATACAAGAGCCTGTGGGGGTTCAGGGGAGCAGGAAGCGGCGTCAGCACAGCCAGCCCCACCTCCCCCTAGGTCTCCCCTTTCTGGACGATGCAGTGTTGTAGCTGGTGGGACACTGGAGGGGAAAGCCTGCCATGGTCTCTGGGCCTGGCAGTGCAGGCCTGACCCTCATCTCCACTGCTCTGTTCTAGGCTGGTGTCCCCAGAGCCCCCACCCAAGGGCTTTCTGGTGATGGGCTCCAAGTTCCGGTACAGCGGAAGGACCCAGGCACAGACCCGACAAGCCAGCGCCCTCATCGACCGGCCGGCCCCCTTCTTTGAGCGTTCCTCCAGCAAGCGATACACCATGTCCCGCAGCCTTGATGGAGGTACGGCCCAGACTGGAGCTGGGGGGAGAGTGGTCGGTGGGAAACGAGGTGTGAGAACGTGACAGGGTCTCCAGAATACACGTGGCGGTTGTGGTAGACACTCCCAAGGGCCTTTGCACCAGCCAGGATGATCTTACAAGCACCGCTGCTCCTGGGCAGTATCAGCTGTGTCCCACCGGGATGTGACACATACTCCAGGACTTCTCTGGGTTGTGACCTTGAGGGGTCCCACGTTCTGCCATCTCATTTTCTAGGCCTTTGCCCAAGAAGCTCAGCAGCGCACAGGTTGACATTCTGCCAGTAGAGTGATATCGTGTGGTTTACATGAGAGAGAGGGTCTGGTCTGGCCCTGGCCCTTTCCTCCAGGTCCCATTCCTACGCCAGAGCTAAATGGAACCTAGATTGAGGGGAGGTGGTAACAGAGGTTACCCAGAGGTGGGGGAACATGTTGGGGAAACAGAAGCCTGGACTCTAATTCTGAAGGCTGGGTTTCTTGTTTTGACGTCCTGAAAGGGCACCTATGGGACCTTCTCCTCTTGAATCCTCAACTTCTCCTCTGTCACGTGGAGGTGGTAATTCCCAGGCTAGCCCACAACACAGAGCAGTGTAAATCAAGCCAGGCAGTGTGCAGGAACTGGCACTTTGCAGAGGGAAATAGCCCTGAAAGGAGAGGCAAGTTGGCATCTCTTTTTAATGGCGGCCAACCCAAAGGATGACATGTGCTCTGGTTGTCGCCATGATGGGTTTTTGCAGCTTTTTTCCTACTAAAGCTCAGTCTGCAACATTTTGGGTTGTACCCAGGGCCTGGTACAGTCTCTAAGCCCACCCTTCTTCAGTTCAGAAAAATATTTTAGAATTGTGGCAAGAGAAAAGGACATTACAGAATCCCTTTGAATTTTATTAATCCACAGAGAAAGCAAACTGTTTGTAAGCTTCTGCTACCACCTGTAAAAGCTAGTCTCAAGACATCTGGATATTGCTAAGTAATGATATATCAGGAATCGCCCAAGGACCACAACCCAGACAATATTTGCTGGGCCAGCATGGGTGGAAGACTCACTCTGGGCCAGACACTCTCTGAAGTACTTATACACCTTAGTTTATTGGGTCCTTACCTCGTCTTTCTGACACAGATACTACTTAATGATGAAGAAACTGAGGCCCAGAGGGATTGTGTAACTTATCCACCGTCACCTAGCCAGGAAGGGTTAGGTTTGCGACTCCAGCACCTGTAGAAAGCAGGAAGGAGGCGGAGGGTGGGAAGCAGCTTTGTGACTGTCCAGCTGTCCAGGGTGAACAGTGGGTCGCCGTGGGGAAGGCTGGGCAGTGGCTGGCTTTCTGACTGTACACACAGTCACTTCGCCAACTCTGCCTACCTTAGCGGAGTTCTCCCGCCCCGCCTCAGTCAGTGAGAACCATGATGCGGGGCCTGATGGTGACAAGCGGGAAGACGATGCTGAGTCAGGGGGACGGCGATCAGAGGCCGAAGAAGGCGAGCTCAGGACCCCCACCAAGATCAAGGAGCTGAAGGTAGGAAGGAGCCCACTGGATTGCCACGTGCCTTGTTCCCAGGGACCTGAATGGTGGCCTGAGGCCTAGACTTAGCCTTGGCCTTCACATGTCCTGATTGTATGCAAAACCCCCTGCTGTGGGGCACACCTTGAACAGGGCCTTGGCCTTGGGCAGCACTCCACATCTGGACATGCAGAGTAGGGTTGGGGTTGGAAGTTGGCATGCTGCCCCCTTTTCGCCCAGCTTCCCTGGGTTGCAGGTGTTTACCTCCTGGGAAACTCAGACACCCCCCCTTCACTTACTCCTTGTATCCCCTTTAACTGGGGTCTGGCTCTGTGTCTCCTCTCCTTCCCTAAGCATGATCAGGTCACCAAAGGCCTCAGTGTGAAGTGTAAGTGTGTCCTTTTCTGCAGCCCCACCCTCACTCTGGACATACACATCCCCAGTGTGTGTGTGTGTGTGTGTGTGTGTGTGTGTGTGTGTGTGTGTATGTGTGTGTGTGTGTACATGCTCCTGCAGGCACACATAGCCCAGCATTCACTTTCACACCTCCACACCCCAGCCTTAGACTCATGCACAGACATGATGGTAGCATGTTCACATACACAAGCTTGGCCCCACACAGGCCAGGCGTGGCCTCCTTGGCTTTGCTACACAGTCCTCTCCTGCTGTGTAGTTCTGCAGTGTGAACACAGGCCCCTAATCACATCCTCACTGTTACAAGCAGCGGGACACCCCGGACACGGACACACACCAACCTGCGAATGTGGCTCGACCCACTTGGACTCCAGTCCCCTGTCCTCCCCTTTGCCTTCCTGGGCTAGCTCCCTGCCTCTTCTACCCCACACCTTCTTCTGACTGCCTCATTACCTATTACCTTAGCAGCTTTCCTGTCCCGCACTGCATGGTGGGATTGGGTGTGAGTGCACAGGGCTACCCTAGCTGGACCAGGCTGCTTGCGATGTCTCTAACCTGTGGATTCTACTGACCGTGCTGGTTCCTTTCCCTCCCGCCTTATCCTACCAGCCGGAGCAGGAAACCACGCCAAGACACAAGCAGGAGGTACTGCATGGACCGTCCCCCCCTTCATAGCCATTCGGATCCCCAGTTCATTCGTCACCCTCTCACTCGGTCCTCAGCTCACGTCCCTGGCACCACCTCAGTTTCAGCTTCATTTCTGCCCACCTTCCACACCCTCCCTCCCACTGTCTTCCTTTCTGGTCCCTGCCTTCCCCATTAAAGCTCATGCCCAGCTCCCAGGACAGAGTCTAGTCCCATCCGTGTGCCCGGCCCTCCACCCAGTGACACTCTCTGCCGGGCCTGGTGATCAGTGCTTGCCTCCCCGTCACCACCCCTCATTCCACTGTGTGTTTTCATTTAGCTCCTCTTTCTGCTCCCCCTCTCCCTCCCTCCCCTTCCTGAGCATCATCTCCCATCCCCCCCCCACTAGCATGTTTGGCCATGTCTACATCTCATCTGTGTTCTTTGTATCTCTTGACAACCAGATGTGGGGGTGGGGCCTGGGTGGGGAAGGAGGAGCCCTCAGGGCACAGTAGGCATCTGCTCAGACTCCACTGCCCTCCTGAGCAGGCTGCCGATGCCTCCCTGGACACCTCCTCTCCTTCTCTGCTCTCACCTTCCTGTTCAATGATGACGTCAACGTCGGCCTCCCACCCCCACTTCCTCCCTCTCACAGTATCCAGGTCTCTCTAGAGATGCAGCTCGTTCCTGGGCTGCTGAGAGCAGGGCCACGCTCAGGGCCCAGCTGTGGCCTCCTGAGATCTGGGCTTCAGCCCAGCTCTGCTGCTGACTTTGGGTCTTAGAAAGGCTCCTTGGACCCTGATCCCATCCACACAACAGGGCATACAGACTGCTACCTTTGACTCCAGCTAGACCTGCCTCATTTTTGTGCCAAGCCTTGACACTCATCCCTTGGTTTCTCCAAGGCCTTTAACCTCTGGGGACCCCAGGACCCAACCACTCTCCAGCTTCTGGGGACACAGTTCACCACAGGGCCAGCGGGCCATTTGGGATCATCTCAGGTTAAGACCCACTCACCATTGAAACCTGTTCTCACTGCCTGTACACATGCACTTGACCTCTCAGACAGACACAGTCTGTGATCAGCTTAGCCTGGGAGGGAGGCCTGAGGTCCAATCTGGTGTCTGGGGAGAAAGCAGAAGCCTTGGTGGGGTTGACTTTCTTCTTGAGAAATGCTCTTGGGAGCAACTACAGTGATTCTTAGATGCCAGGGAAGAGTCTAGCCCTGTCCAAGGGCAAGCTTATCTTCCAGGGAGTTCTCCTCAAATAGCCTTGCAGATACAGTCTTTGGGCCACCAGCCCACTCTTTTTCCCAGAAGCAAGCCGGGGACTGGCACTGGCAGTTCTCTGTGGCTCCTTAGCACCAGGCCAAGCAGACCGCTCCCTCTGTCTGCAACACTGGCGTGGATTCATGTGTCATAGATTAGTGAGCGACACTCCTGGGACCCCAGCTCTACCTGACTTGTCCTCCTGCCAGGCCCTGAAGCTCATCTCTTCTCCCTCGTCTCTAACTTCTTACCCCACACGAGATTCACTTCCACCCCAGCATCCTGGTCTCGCTGATGGCATATGACTGTCTACTTTTAGAGTCAGTCCTCAGAAGGCATCTGGGAGGTTCTGTGATGGAGAAGGCAGTGGCCCATGGCAGAGAAGACTGCATAGTCTTTTCCTGGCCCCGAGTAAGGGAACAGGGCCCATTTTTCTGGACAACCCAGCTTAGGCATATCTTTATCCCAGGCCTCCACGGGGCCTGAGCAGTTGGATGGGGGCTCTGGAGAGCCTAGACCAAACATACTATTCAGTACAGTGGCCCAAGTCTTTAAGGAGAGGTAGGAGCCAGGATTCAAGGGGGTTCTGGGAGTCCGGCCAGCAAGCCTGTGCCGCTCAGTGAACACACCAGGGACTTCTCACCTTGGTAGATGACGCCTGCTGTGCCTGGATCATAAACAGGAAAGGCATCTGTGTGTCTGACTCCATCTGGGCTCAGCGCACAACGGGAACACTCACCCAGACTCGAGGGCTGAGTGGAGTTGAGTGTTCCGGGGTGAGGTGGTGAGGGGAGCAGAGGAGGTGACTTCACTAGACTGTCCCCTTTGTCATCCAGGTGCCCGCGACCCCGGTCAGTGCATCTCCTGGAGTCCGTCGTCCTTGCTCCCTTGGCTCCTTGGGTTATTATGAGGGTGATGCAGGATGGTGATGCTCGTCTTCCTGTGCCTTCTTCGCCTGCTCCATGCCGTGTATCTTACACCTCTGCCCTCTCCTCCCATGCCTAGTTCTTGGACAAGCCAGAGGATGTCCTGCTGAAGCACCAGGCCAGCATCAACGAGCTCAAGAGGGCCCTGAAGGAACCCAACAGCAAACTCATCCACCGGGAGCGCGATCGGGAGCGCAGGCTGCCCTCGTCGCCCGCCTCCCCCTCCCCCAAGGGCACCCCTGAGAAAGCCAGTGAGGTAGGTATCCTGCCGAAGCCCTCAAGAGAGATCTTGGGTAAAGAGGGACGGGGTAGGGATAGGGGGTTACGTATGCATTTAACGTTCATCCTCCACACGAATATGTGCCTATTGCTGTCTTAGGCCGGTGGGATAGGGAGGCAGGTTAGGCTGAGAAGGTCAAATCCACTAACTGCTGGGTCCCAGAGACCGTCTTAAAACATGAAACACTCCAAAACTCCTGGTAGCTTGGTGTAGTCCCCCTTCAGTCAAGCAGAGAAAAATAGGGAAAGTGTGCTTGTTAGAAACGCAGACTCAGGGACCCCATGTGGGACCCACAGAAGCAGCTGTTTGCCAGAAGAGCCCCGGAACCGGCCTTTTAAACAAGTGTCCTAGTCAAGTCCCTTGCATATGCAACTTTAAGAATCCTGGAAGCCCTACCCAGGACCAGCCCCTCTGGAGCGTGTGAAGGTGCAGGGAGACATGGTCCCTGCTGCATGGAATCTCAGTTCACCGAAGTGGTGACTCCTCTGTACAACCAGACTGCTCCTGAGGCTTTCCCAAGAAGACCCCATGTGTCCTGCCCTCCAGGGTGGAAATCTAGGAGTATTTTCTCAACTGAAAAAGACATGATTTGGGGAAATCCTGGGTTTATACTCTCAAGCTATTATTTTTAGCAATTGCTGAATCTTGGCAGGATTTACCCCAGTTTCTCTCTCGAGCTGCTGCTCACTGGTCACCAGATTGATTGTGGTCTAAACTCAGGCTCCTGGTTCCATTACCTGTCGGCTGGAGGGCTCTGGCCTTGTTACTTCATCTCCCTGTTAGGTGGAGATGTTTATAGGGATGTTGTAAAGGTCAGATGGGATAATGCTTGGAGAGGGACCACATGGTCACCATGCTGTCTGGGATGAGCTATCTGGTGTCCCTTATGGAGTCCCAGGACTCAGCCTTGCAGATCTCCAAATCAAAGCCGGACCCTGGGAACCCTCTCTGTTCAAAGACCTCATTTACCGAGACCCAGAGACGAAGAGTGAGTCTAAATGATGGCCCTGCTTGCTCTGTTCCCGTCATTGAGTTTGCCTTTCATTCACAGCCGACTTGAGGCAAGATCAGATGTGGAGTCGGTTGTGTACCTGCGTTCTCTCTAGCGCTTTGGACGTTGATGAAGCAGCCATGATTTGCTGTGTAGAGTGTTAATTGAACTGGTCTCGCCATGGTCTGAGCCCACCAGACAGCAGAGGGTTTTCCTGGTCAAGTATAAACGCTTTACACAGTTGGCTGCCAAAGTCACACGGTTAGGCTGATACCCTAGAGAGAAAACGAAGCTCTGCTAGCAGAGGGAGCAAACGGAAACATTGTGACACAACATTGCTATCTGCACATGTCTTGATCAGCTTTTGTAGTTACCCAGGATGCACATGGCCCCCCGGGCTGTAGGTTAGACAGGCCTCCGAGGGCTTCTATGATCCCAGCATAACCAAGACCTCAGACTGGACCGTGGTTGTGATGTAGTGAGCTGGTACACTGCACTCTCCTCGACCCCTCATTCCCTAGGGAAAGTCTTGGCCAGTGTGACTGCTAACAGTCCTGAGATGAGTCAGGTCTTGGCTTGACTGCAAAGGAAGTGTGAGGTAGAAGCTACCCAAAGGATGAGTTGTCAGCAGAGAAAGGAGCGGTAGATGAATCCTGGTGTGCTAGGGCCTGGAATTGGGGGGTGCCCCACCTGCTGGTCATAACTGGAGCTGCAGGCAGAGGGACCTTAGTAAAGATGGAGGTTGTTCCAGCCATCACTTAGCCCTGAAAACTGGTCACCACTCCTGGGAAGTAAAGGAACCCCTGTTGGAGTTATGAGCCATTCAGAACTGTCCTTCATGCCCCTTGGCATTTATGGGTTCTTGAAGATTTGCAAAATGGGGAGGATCTATAGACAAGGACTCGATGCTGTTCTTGGGTGTGTAAGGCCACCTCTGTGAGCCTCCTTGCAGAGGCCATCTGAAGGGGGCCAGAATGTCATTCCATTGGGAAGTCATTGGCAAGGCTAACTAAAACAACAAAGATGGAAGTTCCGTGTCCCCCTAGGAAGTGTTGATAGTTATGGGGCCACTGCTGAAGGTGACTAGAATCCTTGGCCCGGTATGGCTCTGTGGAGGACTCTTTGAGGACATACCACCCAGAACTCCCAGAGCCATCTCAAAGCTTGTTGGGTCCCGCCCAAGCTGAGGGGAAAGCAGCAGGGACTTGAACAGTTCCCATTGGGCAAAGGTTTTAGTTTGAAAGACAATTGTGTGTGGGGTGGTGTAGTTGTATATGTGTTCATGTGGCTATGTGCACATGTGCATTACACATGTATGTGTGTGTGCATTCGTGTGGAGGCCAGAGATTGACATGGGCTGGCTTCCTCAGTCATTCTCTATTTTTTTATTATAGTTTTATTATTTGTGTGTGTCTGTCTGTCTGTCTGTCTATGTCTGTGTGTGTATGCAGTATGTCTGTGTGGTGTGTGTGTGTGTGTCTGTCTGTCTGTCTGTCTATGTCTGTGTGTGTATGCAGTATGTCTGTGTGTTGTGTGTGTGGAGGCCAGAGGACGGCTTTTGTGAGTCTCTCCTTCCTCCACATGGGTCCTGGGGATTGAACTTCGGTTTTCAGGCTCGGCACCAGGCACGTTCACCCCCTGAGCCATCTTGCCCAGCTCCTCCGCTTTATGTTTTGAGACAAAGCTGCTTCCTGAGGTAGCGCTCACTGACCCAGCTAGGCCCGCTGGTCTGTGAGCTCCAGGGATCCACCTGACTCCATCTCCCCCAGGCTGGGGTTACAGATGTGTGCTGCAGCAGCTGGGCATCTGTTTTCACAGGTGCTGGGGATCTGACCCCAAATCCTCACACTTGTGCGAGAGAACTTGACTAATTGTGGCGTCTCCTCGGCTTCTCAAGGACAACATTTAAAAGATAGGACTGTGACCCCAGCTACAGGTTCCTCATGGCCTAAGCCTGGGCAGGCTTGCAGTCAGAGTAAATGGTGGGATTCCAGACTCCCTCGAGTGCTAGTGAGCACGAGAGACCGGGAAAGCCACAGCTGCCCTGCAGTCGACCACAGCTGTCCTTCCGTCTTCCCCCTCAGAGTGGCTCCTTCCTGACAGAGTCCATGAACTAACATAACAATGTGGGACCAGAAAGCTGGACTATTTACAGACTTTGTGTATCTCTCCTGCTCTCTCTCTCTCTCTCTCTCTCTCTCTCTCTCTCTCTCTCTCTCTCTCTCTCTCGTTTCTCTTTTCTTCCCCTCCCTCTCCCTCTTCTCCGGCCCTGGGCCTCCCCTGCAGACCCAGAGGACCCAGGACACTTCTCAGCAGGACTTGGTACCTGGAAGAGCAGCAGGCTTGGAGGTGTTCACTCAGAAAAGCCTCGCAGCATCTCCTGAGGTTAATGCCTGCACTGCCCCACATCCCTTCCTCCTGGGCCTCCAGCCCATCCCTGTCCACCCTCCGGGATCTTAAGGAAACCCTTTCCCTAGGGTGAGGGGAATAGGCCAGACTCTGCCGTGGAGAAGAGAGCAGGGGTAGCCCATGTTGTATCATGTTATAAATGGCAAGTGTCCCCATCCCAGGGATCCATGAAGGGCCAGCCCCTCCCTCATCTGTTACTTCCCAGGAAGGACATGGTTGCAGCTATACCCAGAAGACAGAATTGGTTGCCTCTGTCTCAAAAGAGGCAAAAAGATGATCCTCTCTGGAGGCAGGCTGTAACTCTAAGCTTCAGTGTCTTGGCCCTTGAGTATGTCCTGCCTTGACATCTTGGCTCTGTTTAAAAGCCTGACTGAGTCTGTGGGTGGCTAGTTAGGACATGGTGTTACATCTTTACCCGGCTTCCATCTATCTAAATCCATCTGGGACATCGGTCTGAGTCACCAGTCAGGCAAACATAGATATCTTCCTCCCAGAAACATCCTTCTAAGTAAGGAGGACATTGTTTCTGGATCCAGAAGAACAGCAGGTCAAGGGTTCTTGGGGTTTCCCATGGCCCTGTGTGGATGCTAGGGATGGAGTCCCCACATCCCCCTCACTACGCTGGCATTACATAGGCTGTTGAGTTAGGAGTCAACTGACTTGGAAAACATCCGTCATGTAGCCTCTGCCCCATCCACTGGTGTGGCTTGGGAGGGCGTAGACCTTTTTCCCTCTACAGAGAAAACTCGTGGGGCTGCTGCAAGTATGTTGTGAATGTAGGAGGGACAGGAGCAAGTGCCCGACAAGGAGAATACAAACCAGACTCTCCCTGAAGTCTTCCTCCATGGAAAACTAGAAGCAAACCTACCAGTGTTCTCTCTTGAAGGCAGTGAGACAGGAGTCAGCAGCATCCCAGAGTTGGGGACATGGTGATGTCCTAGTGTCTGGAGATGCTTTTAGAAACAAGGACAGTGCCCGTATGGGGAGAGAGCCAAGAGCACCTTTCTATCAGTGACCTGTCTCATCAGCCTCACTGTCCTTAAAAGCAGCCTGTTTTATCTAGTCATCAACAGGCTCATTCGTTCATTCCATCATTCATTCCTACCTTCCTATTCCCTTCCTCTCCCCCTTCCCTCCGTCTTATTTCTTCCCTCCACGAGGTCTTTCCATACTGCCCTGACTGGACTCAAATTCATGGTCCTCTTGCTTTGGCCTCCCAAGTGCTGGGCATGAAGTTTTAAGTTGACCAAAGTCTGCCCTTCTGTTCAGTTGTCTGTGAGCTTCCTCTTGCCTCGTCATGGCCACAGACCTGCTCTGCGCCTCCCTAAGGACGCCCTTCGGGAGATTGACCACCTTCCCACTGCGCCTCTCCCAGCGGCTTCTCCCAGGATGTGGGTTCCAGAGAGCCCCATTCCTGGACCCCCTGTGACCCCAAATGTAATGCAGAGTTCCAGGTGGGGCCTAAAGAGCCAAGAGTCAGGGGCGCCACCTCTGGAGCTTCTTCTTGTTTGGCATGAAGCAGAGCCTGTCCCCTTCTCCCACTCCTGGGGCTGGAGCAGAGGCCGCGCCATCAGATGGCAGGAGGCACTGAAGAACCAGGGACTCGGGAGAGAATAGCGTGAGGGCTAACCTCTGCACACACCCTAACAGAGCCCCATCTTGTGGCTGGGGCCAGATGTGCTTTCCCAGGGCGCTGGTGCCAGCAAAGCTGCCCTTTACTTTTTGTAAATCTGCCCGCCCGCCCGCCCCAACATATCCTTAACTGTTGCTTTTTAGCAATAGAGTCCTTGTTTCTTCCCTCACCACGACTGTGTGATCTTCTGCAATCTCCTCATTTGGAGCCTTGGTTTCCCCTTTTGAAACAGAATTGCCAATTGGAGTAAAGTTAATTATGTAGATAAGGGCTGGCACTGCCTGGCATCTAATAACTAAACATTACCATGTGTTTCCCTTCTCTGCCTCTAGAGTCTTTCCAGTCTGTGCCAGCTTCCACCCTCACACACCATTGCTCATCTAGTCTATTTGCTAGATAGGATGGGAGTGGGAATATTCCAGAAGGGCCTCTCTGGCCAACTTTGACCATCATCACTAGGCTGATAATTTTAGAAGCAGAAATGGAAGCAGCTGGCCGAACTTGCTTCCCAAGGAAATGAGAAAGATCCTTACCTCTGCAGGCCAGCAGAACATGTCCCTCTGAGGGTTCAGGCGCAGACACCTGAAACAACATCTCAGAAAGCTGTGCCAGACTGTGTCTGGACCTCCCTCCCTTGATCGCTTTCCAACTGGTAAGACTCTGTTAATGAGGTCAGCTTCCCTGACCCGGGAAGAAGGGTTTGCAGAGTTCTCTTGATCCTGCCAGCTCCTTCAGATCTTACCGGTGTGGCAGACTCATCACCGAGTCACAACCTAAAAAGGAGCCCAAGGTCATGTAAGCCTCTGGTCTCCTGCTTCTGGGAGGAGTGTCAGGCACACCTGTCATGGAGGCAGTCTTGATAGGGTGGGAAGGTTAAACTTTAGAGAACTAAGAATCCGGTCTTGGGTTCTAGGCTCTGTGACTAGGTGGTCAGTTGCTTCCCTCCCCTGGGAAGTTGATTTCCATGCCTGTATTGTGAAGCCTATACTTCATAGGAAGGCAGCACCTTACGGCTGGGGGCCATGCAGCTTTCCCAGGGCTGCTCAGCGTTTGCATTATGCATTTATTAGATGGACTTGTGATGAGATTTTTTTGGGGAGAAAGTATTCCCTGGTCCCAAGACTAAAATCCAAATGGTCTTATGGCTTTGCTAATGATTTGGGAAAACCATCATTACCTCTAAGCTGTGGGGGACAGGTAGAGGGCTGTTCTGTGACGTTTGATAGTGTCACACCTGTCCCTTTGGCTCCATGATGATGTTGTCAGTGATCTTTTTCTTCTGTGGTTTGATCTGGCCAGTTCTTTTCTACTCTTTCCATGGGTTTTTGTTAGAATTCTCCAAGGATTGGTCTTAAAATCACTTCTTTTAGACTGAACCCCAGAACGTTCAGGCTGTTTAAGCAGCGTGTGCTGACCTGGCTGTTTGGTGTCATTGCTGTTGATCTGTTTCCTTCCCAGAAGCCCTTGGAGAGGGGTCATGTCTTAGGCTGGGGCCTGTGAAATCCAGCCCACTGTTTTCCCTCGGCTGGACATCAGATCCCAGTTGGCACCCCTGTTTCAAGGTTGTGAGTTAAGTCAGCCAGGAGCGCAGGCATCAAAAGGCAGCCATTCTTTCCTGGCTCTTCCACCAACGAACAGTGGCTGCAACCAAGTCATTGGCCTTCTCTAGACCTCAGTTTCCCCGGAAGGAGACGACACTGGGTGTCTTTGGAGCTTTGGGCTCAACATCCAGAGATTGCTTGTGATGTAAGTGCCCTCCCCACTGACAGTGAGAAATACTCGGTTACAAGAGGAAGAGGCCTGGCCCCCCTGTGGATCTCCCATTTCCTGTGCTTCCTGGGGAGGCACAAGGTCCCATCCCGCTGTACCGGGATGGAATCAGTGATTGAAGAGGGTCAATCAGTTTATTGGGGATCTTAATGGGGAAAAGAACTTGGATGATGATGATGATGATGGGCTTTATCATCCCTTTCTGTCCCTGGCCAGTTCCTAGGACTCATAGTCCCAGTGGCAAACCCTTTGGTGGTAGATCGGTCCCTTCATACAGAGGGAAGAGGTCATTCCCTTCAAGTGCCCGCTCTTTCATGTTAACTCTTCTTGCTCCAATTGAAACACAGGGTTCAGAGCACTGGGTATTTATAGACAGAGTACACGCTAGGCCAGAAGAACTTGGCCTCCTAACAGTGGCCAGCACACAACGGGAAGAAAGTGAGGCAGGCCTCGCTGAGATCCTTGCTGATGGCAGACTCTCCAAGGTAGACATTCTGGTGGACAAGTTCAAAGTTGAAGTGGCCACGGAAGAAACAGTGGGAGCCAGAAGGGCAAGCACTCAGCAGCAAAGGAGGATGGTTGCAAGTCCAGAAGTCTTTGAGACAATGAGAGAGGAAGTCCTGTGCACCCAGGGAGGCCCCAGAGAGGCTGCCCAGGCTGCAGGCTGCACATCACCAGACAGGCTTCTTGAGGGCTCCAAGCTCGAGATCAGGAACCGCCGCATCTCCGAGGGTCAGCTGGAGAGCCCAGCAGAGCGGAGCCAGGGGCTGGAGGGGCTCCAGACTTGGCAGAGACCTACAACTACGGGAGTCGGGTCAGGGCTAGGAGAAGTTCTCTCTCCTGAGTCGGACAGGGGAGGACTCCAGTCCTTCCTGTTGGATCCGGCCCAGGCAGAAGCCAGGGCTGACTCCAGCGACGAGACTGACACCTCCTTCGCAGAGAGGAGCTTCTATCTAAACTACGGCGAGAAAGACTCCCAAGACCAAGTTCCTCCCCTACCCTCAGAGGACAGAGAAGAGCGCCTGGATGCCCCTCCTGGAGATGGGCCCTGGCCGGAGCTGGCAGGGGAGCACACAGAACACTGGGAGCTGAAGTCCTCAGCCCCAAGGGGTTCTTCTGCCCCAGGTTCCAGCCGGAATAAAGATGAAACCCATATGACTTCCTCACAGGAAGAAGTCTGGTCCCCTAGGGACCATGGGAGGCCTGGTGACCTGCAGGGAGCTGCTGTGGGACAGACTTTTGCAGACTGGGAAGAAACGCAGCAAAGGCTGGAAGGAGAGTTGACCTACCCAATGGCCAGGGCAGCTGAAGACGAGGAGGCTGCCATGAGTATAGACTGGAGAGGAAAGACTGAGGAAAGTCCCCCCCCAGCAGGATGGAGGAAGCAGCCCCCTGGGGGAGGGGGAGGGGTACACCTAGATGCCCAGGCCTGTGCCCTTCTGAGGACCATTCCTCCTCATGTTAGGAAGCCAGTCAGGCCAAACCAAGGCGGCCTTCTGCCCAAAGAGAAGAGGGCAATTTCCACTCAGGCTGTAGAACCCAAGACAGAGGACATGGAGGCAGTCATCCCCCTGCCAGCAGCTGTGGAGGACACTTCTCAAAGCCCAGTCTCTCCTGGGCCAGGGAAGCCTTCGGAGTTCTGGGATCCCTTTGGAGATCAGGTCCCCATAGTTCTCAAACACACCCATCTTCCTGAAGAGAGCGCCGTGCCCAAGGACACACGAGGTGAACGCAAAGCACCCCCCGTGGCCAGCAAGAAACCCAGAGCTGTCCCTGTAGGAGCTGAGGGACCTGCACTCCCGGGGTTTGTGTTCCCTTCAGAAAAGCAAAAGGAGACTTCACTCTGGGCTGGGGACCAAGGGGGTTCCAAGGAAGACGTTAGCAAGACCTCAGTGGCTAACAAAATCCGGATATTTGAGACCCACGGAGCTGAGACTCGCCGAGCCAGTCAGGGCGAACTGAGGGCCCTTGCGCATGAGCTGCCTTCGGAGGCTTCCCCGGGGCAGGTAGAACATCAGCGAAGCAGGCTGCTCGACTTGGGCTTTGGCCAACTCCAGCCCCCTGGGGACCTGGCCAGCCCCAGAGTCACGCACTCTTCTGTCATGCCTCTGGCTACCCAGCACTCTGGGGAGGGCACCTCCACTACCTCCCCCCAGGAAAGATGCACAGAACCAGAGCCCGCGTCCCCTGATTCAGGCTGTGAAACCACGCTGGAGGAAGCTACCGGGGTAACTGGCCACGTGAGCCCCCACCCCCCACCAAGCCCCCACCCGTGGAAGCTGAGCGCATGCTATGTAGCTTCTTAGAGGCATGTTTCGGTGGCCCCCGGTCAATTCCTGCAATGATGGTGCTGCTCGTTCATCCCTAGAAGGTCTTCTCCTACACGGTCCTGAGATCGCCCAGGCTGAAAGATGGGGCCATCTGCTTAGTCCTTGTTAGCTTGTTAGATCCCCCAACCTTTGGTGTGACCTTACATCCCGAGGGTCACACAGTGGCCTCAGAGGAGGTGCCACCAGCAGCAGCAAATCACGTACTTGCTTTGCCTTGCTCGTCTCACTGCTAGACTCCGCCCTATCTTGCTTGGCTTATCCAGTGATCCTTCTTCATCCTCTCCCATCCCTGGTACCCTGCCTTGCGGAAGCTGGCAGTCCAGAGGTTTCCTCCACTTGGCTTCCGGTTCCTTTCTGCCTCCTTAAGACTAACTGTCTTCTCTAATCCAGAACAAATCCGGAGATGCGGGCAGGGAAGAGAAGAGTTTCTTCAGCCGCTTAGCACCCAACGCCCCTGGAAAGGGGGGGCGCCTGAGATTCGCCAGCCCTCCGGGCCCTCAGGTCTCTACAGCCCCTCTGTGCCCTGATGACCTGGTCATCTTCATCCGGCTGGGATGCATCATTCCCTAGATTCCCGCCTGCTCTCGTAGTGAACTCCCTCTGGCTGTTCACACTCTGGCTTGTCTGGAATGTTATTCCTCACACCTCTCAACCTTCCAGAACCTGGCCAGGTGGAGGCTGGTTAACAAATGAATCTCTGAAGCATACTGAACCTCCAGAGCCCAAAGCTGAGCTTTTTTTTTTTTTTTCCAAAACGTTTTGTGAGTGTTAGATTGGTCTTAAAAAAAAAAAAAAAAAGTCACAAACCAAGCCAAACAAACAAAACAAGGAAACCCGTGTGTGGTGTTTAATCCCTGACAGGCCAGTTGAGAGGTATGTGTTAGGACAGGGTTTGCTGGTTCTCCTGGGGCATTCCCTTGGCCTGCTGTTGTCAATTACACTGATGGGGCCAGACCGTCCTCTCCGTGGTTGCCATAGAGCTCAAGGTGGCACTGGTATGGCTCCCAGGAAGCCGGAGTCCGGAGGGCCTGGGCCAGAATTCTCCTCCCTGAGTTGATGCAGAGATTCAGTGCAATTGACAGGCTGCTGGCTTCTTCTGTGTTCCTCAAGCTCCCAGCTCCAGCCTCTTTGCCTCCTCTCCTGGGTTCCCCTGAATCCCTGACCTCCTTCCTCAGTTTACCTCTCAATGCCTCCTGCAAGGATGGGCCTGTGGTCCAGGCCTCCATCCCTGCCTCTCGCACAATGCTGCTTCGGATAGGCTTTCGGGTCCTAGCCTTGGAGGGGCCTCCTGTCCAGAGCTCGCTGGAAGGATGCCAGCTTGCTTTGCCGTCCATGTGAGACCCTCCAAAGGGGCATCCCCACTCTGAGAAGTTTTTTGTTTCATTTTGTTTTGTGCTAGATTCCGCGGAAACCTTTCTGGGGCGCGTTTTTCATTTCCTGACTTGCTCTTCCATCTAGGAACATCGTTGCAACCTTGAGATTTCTTCTGACATTCACTGTCTTGACCTCTCTCTCTCTCTCCCCACCCTGTATCCCCATTCCCCTGGTTTTATCTGGCCATAGAGAGCAGGGCTGAGGGAGGGCTCGGAGGAGAAAGGCAAGCCACCACGTCCTCGTGCCCCAGAGAGTGACACAGGAGATGAGGACCAGGACCAGGAGAGGGATGCGGTATTCTTGAAGGACAACCACCTGGCCATCGAACGCAAGTGCTCCAGCATAACGGTCAGCTCCACATCCAGCCTGGAGGCTGAGGTGGACTTCACGGTTATTGGCGACTACCACGGCAGCGCCTTTGAAGACTTCTCCAGAAGCCTGCCTGAGCTGGACCGTGATAAGAGCGACTCTGAGACAGAAGGCCTGGTGTTCGCCCGGGATCTCAAGGGACCGTCCAGCCAAGAGGATGAGTCTGGGGGCATCGAGGACAGCCCAGACCGAGGGGCCTGCTCCACTCCAGAAATGCCCCAGTTTGAGGTACAGTGAAGCTTCATGGAGATCCAGTCCACCAGGGCACTGCATGTTCAGAGGGCCCTGGGCCGTGTGTGAGAAGACCAGCCATCAGCTGCAGCCTGAAGCTCTGTGTAGTGTTGCATGACTGCCCCTCCGTAGAACAGCATGGTTCTGCGACCGCATGTCTGCCGTGCTGGTTCACCCCTAACACATGCTCCACGGTGTCTTAACCCTAGGACCCCATCACTTGCTGAGGGCAAGTGATGCCAGCCTTACTGACGACTCCTTAGCCCCCTGCCTGTGTTGCATGGCATCCTCAGAGAGCATGTGTCTGTGGACTCTCGAGGCTCCCGCAGCTGGTCTGAAACCTGAGTGGTTTCTCTCGATTCAGGCCAGGGCTCATTTTACCGGGGCCTGCAGAAGAAGCCGTTATTTAAACCCATCAGACCCTGAGACCTTGGGGTGGCAGTGGACACTCCAGAAAAAGAGAAGACACAGCCTTTGGGGAGGATGTAGGGCCAGCGTCTGGGCTTCTCTGCTTTTGGCCCCCTTGATTTTCAGAAACTCATCCTTGGCCCTCACCTCTAGCTGAGCCCGCCCTCGAGCCCTCGCTCCCCCCTCCCTCCATCCCTCCATCCCTCCCTTCCAGACAGTGAGCATCAGCTCATCCATCCAGGGCTCTCACTCCATGCTGTACCCTCTAGATGGAAGACTTGCCATCCCTTTCTGTGCCCTTACAGTGATCCAGGGCAGAGCTCATACATCCCTTCTCCGTGCTTTTCTGGTCACCTGGGTCCTTCCCTGCCACATCCTTCTCCGCCCTGAGGTGCTCTGGCTCTAACGTTCCCCAGCGCGGTCAGGACAGTGGCTGGTGGTGACTCTGCCCCTCTGCCAGGTGGCAACGGTTGTGAGGCTGGCTCACACTCGGCACTAAGGGATGATTAATTGAATGAGTGGCTAGATCACAGGATTCTGGAAGAATCCCTCCTTTCTCCCTCTTCCTTCCAACTGCGTGACAAGCTACATTCCATTCATCAAACCTGCAGTGTGTCTAGCCATGAACTCGGCCTAAGAGAAGACTCAAAAGAAGCTGATCCTGTGGCTTGAGACGCCTAGAGTACAGTTTGTGAGCTGGTGGCCCTGGGTCACATCCGGCCAACTGATGTGTTTTCTCTGACTTTAATTTTAAAACCACATTACATTTCCTTATATAAATAAATAAACAAAACAGAGGCCATTATAAAAAGGCAAACCTTCAGAATCCCACATGCTTCCCATTTCTCTCGGCCAGCTAGCCTCCTCACCTGTCCATCTGCTACTTGGCCCCTGGGAATTTCCATGTGTGTGGTTCTTGCTTTGAACGGCAGTTCACATGATATGGCCGAAAGGCGGAGTCAACATGTGTGTAAGGAAAACTCTGAGCGGAGAGTCCAGCCATCCTTTTAGTATGGCCTCAAAAAGACGTGTAGCCCCTGGGGCACAGGGTCAGGCTGAACCATGCTGGAAGTGGACTTGGCTCCTCCTGCATCCCGGTTGGCTTGAGTTTTGAAGTGTCCCTTTTGTGTCCTCGTAGTCCGTGAAAGCAGAAACCATGACTGTCAGCAGTCTGGCAATCAGAAAGAAGATCGAGCCAGAGGCCATGCTGCAGAGCAGAGTCTCCGCTGCGGACAGCACCCAGGTAACCTGCACCCCACTGTAGCCTGACCCAGGGGTTGGGCATCTGAGGGAAGGTCCTCACTGAGCCCTTTGGTCAACATTTGTCTTCCCTCATCCTCCCTGAGGTCTGAGGTGGGAACAGTGGAGAAAGACCATGCTTCTTAGAGGCCAGTGTCCCCATCTGTAAATGGGGGCGATCCTGCCTCCTTTCTCCTGGGAGTGTTCAGCATTCATGGCTGGTGGATTGGGACCACGGCTTTCAGGTGGCTTATCAGGTGTGGAGAGGTTCTTCCCCAGGGCAGCTTGGGGGAGAGAGAAATCTCAATCACTGGTCAGAACAGCTCACCTGGGTCATTTCTTATGCATGGAGGTTCCACATTAGATCGGCAAGATGAACAAACCAAGGTCAGATGACTAAAGAGTGTGTTAGTGAGCCGAAGCTCGCCTGCATCCTGGGAAAGCTGGCCGGCCCAGACACAGCACACAGCACATACTTCCCGTGTGTTCTCTGTGGGGCTTCAGATCTGAAGATTTCTAGGTCTGAGAGAGTGCCCTGGGTTTTTCTTGCCCAGACGGACTACAATACTCAGTCCCTTCTCCTGGTGACCAGTCTTTGTCTCAGCGGTGATGAGGGCTGAGCAGATTGATTGGCCAATGGCAGAGCCTTACCCTGGGTCCCACCTCCAGCACAGACAACCTGAAACACGACACATAGTAACACCAACAGATGTCATTTCCAGAATTTTCCCCACTGTTACAGCATGCTAAGTGAGAGCTATGCAGATGTTTAGTGCCACAAAAGAATCATGAGCTAGGTCACCTTGGACAATCCACTTGTCTTCCCTGACTTGCTTTGTTTTAGTAACTTTTTTAAAATGGAAAGTATAAAAAAAAACAAAAACAAAAAAAACAAAAATGACCCCAAATCCCATAACTTGGCAGCTTTTGTCATCAAAACAATGTCCAAAAAAAAAAAGTCAAAAGACTGGATGACACTATTCTTATTCAGTCTCCTGGGGAAAAAATAGGCATATGCTAACACAGATGTTTACATCTGTTTATACTTAAAATTATCAGGTAAAGGTGACCATTGACTTTACACTGTACCTTTTTGCTCTCAAGTAGTCTAGAACTTACTCATTTGCACCTCTCTGTGTCTCTATCCCTCTCTGCCACTCCATCTATCCGTCGGTCTCTGTCTCTCTGTGTCTCTGTCTCTCTCTGCCACTCCATCTATCTGTCGGTCTCTGTCTCTCTGTGTCTCTGTCCCTCTCTGCCACTCCATCTATCTGTCGGTCTCTGTCTCTCTGTGTCTCTGTCTCTCTCTGCCACTCCATCTATCCGTCGGTCTCTGTCTCTCCTTGTCTCTGTCTCTCTTTCTCTCCTCATGAGACAGGGTCCCTGCCAGGTAGTCCAGGCTGGCCTCACACTTACTGTGCAGCTGAGGATGACCTTGAACTTCTGATCCTCCTGCTTCTACCTCCCTGTTCTGGAGTTACAGGTTACACCACCACACCCAGGTCTTTTTCATGGGGGCTGGGAATTGAACCCAAGCTTCATGCATGCTAAGCAAGCACTCTCCCAGCTGTGCCTGGTCCCCAGCCCTGTGCCCAACATTCTGAGTCCACTTAGGAAGCATGTCCTAATTCCTGTTTCCTAGGAAGCATGTCCTAATTCGTGTTTCCGTCTCCCAGCACTGGACTCTGTGGTGGGTTTTATAGGAAGCATGTCCTAATTCGTGTTTCCGTCTCCCAGCACTGGACTCTGTGGTGGGTTTTATCTTTCCCTGTATCCAGTGCTGTGGTAAAGTTTCCTTGTTCATATTTCTTGGCGAACCTTTGAAAGTACCAATTTCTGTTGTAGTGATAAAACACCATGACCAAAAGCACCTTGGGGAGGAAAGGGTTTATTTCAGTTTACAACTCTCAGGTCATGATCCGTCACTGAGGGAAGTCAAGGCAGGAACCTGGAGGCAGGAGCTGAAACAGAGGCCATGGAGGAGTGCTGCTTACTGGTTGCTCCTCCTGGCTTGCTCAGTTTACTTTCTTGGTTTTGTTTTGGTTTTTCAAGACAGGGTTTCTCTGTGTAATCCTGGCTGTCTTGGAACTAGCTCTATAGAACCAGGCTAACTTTGAACTCACAGAGATCCGCCTGCCTCTGTCTCCTGAGTGCTGAGATTAAAGGTGTGGGCCACCACCACCCAGCTTCAGCCTGCTTTCTTATACCATCCAGGCCCAAGGATGGTACCACCTCCAGTGAGCTGGGTCCTCTCACACCAATCATGAGTCAAGAGAATGCCTGGCAGGACTTGCCTGTAAGCCAGTCTTGTGGCAGCATCTTCCTAATTGAGAGTCCCTTTCCTCAAATGACTCTAGTTTGTGTTGAGTTGACATAAAACTAACCATCATGACATCAAAGGGTAACTTCCGTGGATTGCTAAACCAAGGACTGGGAAGAATTTGTCAACTTACATGTGGTTCCTCTTCCTCTGTCCATTCGAACGGTGGAAATGAAGTTTCGAAGAGCCTGAGGCCCCTCCACAATACTCTGTGGCCACCCCCAGTGCAGGCCTGTCACGAAGCCTGTCACTTTGTGACCGGGAATGCTACGAGACAGGTGACAGATGCTGCGGGTGCGTGCAGTCCTGTCATCTCTAATGCCTCCTCCTCTGCCTCGCAGGTTGACGGTAGTGCCCCAGTGGGGAAGGACTTCATGACGACTCCCCCCTGCATCACCACAGAGACCATCTCCACCACCATGGTAAGTGGGACCAGGAGGCTCCTCCCTGACCCATCCCCCACTCTCCCCCAGCAGCCAGAACATGGCAGCTCTTTCAGGAAGTCCTCAGCCACCCTCACGGTGGTAAGACAGATCACCAGATTCCTGTTGTCTGCTACCTTAGCTGCTGTTATATATACTGTCGGTCTTTGTTTTTTCCAAATTGAATAATGTGGGGTGTGGGGTCCCTGAGTCTCAGTTATCTGGGCCATCTCAGGAGTAGAGGGGCCTGATTCTTGACATGCAGGAATCTCGCGATACCAGGTAGATCTTACCTGCAGGTAGGCAGTCAGCCTGAAAACCCCCACCCCACTGCGTTCTCCTGCCCGCAAACCCAAACCAGCCACCCCCAGTTTCTTGTGTCTCAGACCACTTTCTCACTGTGACCAGTAGATGGCAGCAGTGAACCTGGGTTGGAAACGGGTGTTTTGGCCACCTTTTAAGGGCCCTTGCAGATCTTGCTCTTTATTTGCTGTCTGACCAGTAAAGAAAAGTCCTTGACCTCAAGTGTCCTCGCCTGTAAAGAGCGAGGTTCTTATGAGACTCTAGAGCAGAGGTTCCCAACCTCCCTAACGCTGCAGCCCTTTAATGCAGTTCCTCATGTTGTGGTGACCCCAACCATAACATTATTTCATGGCTACTTTGTAGCTGTAATCTTTTTACTGTTATGAATTGTATTATAAATATCTGATATGCAGAATATCTAATAAGTGGCCCTTGTGGGGGTTGAGACCCACAGGTTGAGAATCACTACTCTAGGGCCCCCTTAACACCAAAATAGGACAGAGCGCATTCTGCCCCCAGGTTGTGGTGTGAGGCAGGTCTCCCGAGAAACGTGACCTGCGGGTTATGGACTGTGGTTAGCCGCTGTTCTTCCTTCCACATCCGTTACAAGTTCAGGGGGATAAAGGGATGACCCCAAGGTCACGTGACTGATACCTACCAGGTTAGCTGCAGGCATTCTGACACCAGGAGTCTCAATTCATTGTCAGCCGCTCTGCTCTGCCCCTGTCCTGACCTGTGTGAACATCAGCTTCATGGGCCTGGGGCTACAGAATGTAGCAATGTCTGATCCAGATAGTTCTTGAGCTACTGAGGGTTGTTTTTGAATGACTTCCCTTGTCTGACCTCTGACCTCTACCTGAGAAGATAATTTCATTAAGTCGGAGTCATCAGCAGGTGGGTTTTAAGTAAACAGACTCTAGACTCAGTAAACCCAAACCAGTCACCAGAGGGCGCACGTTTCCCTCGTCAGTCAGTCCTTTCTCTCCAGACTTACTCTGAGGCATAGAGATACTTGTAGGCTAAATTTAGACTTGTCTTTATGGTGAGTAGACAGTAACTTCATTCATTTCCTCATTCATCCATTCATCCATTCATTTGTTCCGAAAACATTGATGAGTCTCTACTGTCTGCCTAGCACGGGGGACCCAGCGCTGCGGGGGGGCCCCACCGCCGACCAGGATTAGTTTGTTCAGCTCTCATCACAGTGCCTGTCACGTATGTAGGTCGTGGGCACACAGTGATGAGCAGGGCCCAACCCTCTCACTTCCTGGCTGGATGACCTTGGGCAAGTCACCCGCACCTCTCTGACCCCTCATTCCCACTTCTGTAAAGTGGGACAGGAGCCACACAGCACACGCCTTGAAGGGTTCCTGTGAGCGTGAGCAAGTGCCCTGGGCAAAGCCCCCAAGCACAGCCTGGCCCGAGCGCCTCCAGATGTCAGCTGCTGCTGCTCTCTCCTGCCCCCATGGAACAGTGCGACAATGTTACCCTAGGGGCCACTGGGATGAAGCCATGAGTGGCGCCTCTGCTAGGAGGATCTGGGGCAGGTGTCACCTAGGCAGGGACAGGAGAGCTGTGAGTGAAGGATGGATTGAGTTATGGTCACAGGAGAAGGCATCCAGCTGTGGAGAGCCGGTGTGAGGGCAGGAAGCTGACAGGTGTGTACAAGGAGAGGAAGGGAAGGTCGGGGAGGGCTGCAAAGAAGGGCTGATCCAGAGCTTAAGTGTTTCCAGTACCGTGGAGGATGGTTTAAACTTTGTCCTGGAGACGACAGGGGAATGGCATTTTTCGAGCAGGAGCATCATCAGCTGCGTGTGTCGGTTAGGTTATCGGCTTGTGTGGAGTGTGGCCTGGAACAAAGATTCCTTCCTCCCTCCTTGCCTTCCTCCTACCTGCCTCCTTTCTTCCTTTAATAAATATTTATTGAACATCCATGATGTGTGAAGTACTGTGCCAGGCACTGTGAATGCATCTCTGGAGGAGACAGCATCTCCAGCCCTGGGGCCCACGTGAGGCCAGAAAGAGAAGGTGGGAACCTGTCTGAGGGCTAGCTGGGGCACTGCCAGGGTTCAAGAAGGTAAATACAGCAGAGTTAGGGATTCGAGATCCTAGAGCAGGAAAGGGCGGCATGTGGTCACTGGGGACAGTGTTTACTGGCCAGTGGTTCTTACAGTGTGATCCCAGGTACCAGCAGCAAAGGTCCATTCCCGCAACCCTGCTCCAAAGCCTTGCAGTCTGTGTTCACAGCCCTCCAGATGATGCTCCTCGGAGTAGTATGAGAGGAGTGTGATGCTTGTATGTTATGTTCAAGCAACCAGTTCTACTGCAGATCTGGCCAGTGTGAGGCATCCATGGGGTGTTTCCAGGGAAAGGCTCAGGAGACAATTGGTTTTGAAGATTTAGGGTTCGAGAAAGATCTGGGCTATGGGTAGGATGTGGCGTCAGAGAGGCAGTAGAATTCCCTGGGTATCTGAGGGTGGATGGGGTGGGGGGGCTGAGGAGAGACAGGGGTGTTGCCTTGCCCAGGGAGAGGAACTGCTTCCTCGAGTTGGGAGATGGGCCTGGCTATGGATACAACCAGGGCGGGGGTTGGGGGAAGCACCGAGATTCTGAACAACTTGTGTCTCGTTTACTGGCTTCTGTTTTCACTACCAACATGGAGGTGAGCCTTGGAGGCTGGCCTCGGGACGAGAGGGGAGACAGTGAATAAGAAACTGTGTGTGGCTGGGAGGTGGTGGTGCACGCCTTTAATCCTAGCACTTGGGAGGCAGGGGCAGTCGGATCTCTTTGAGTTCGAGGCTAGCCTGGTCTACAGAGTTCCAGGACAGGCTCCAAAGCTACACAGAGAAACCCTGTCTCCAGAAAAAGAAAGAAAAAAAGAAAGGTGCGTAGTCTGAGTGACTGGTGGCTGTTCCCCAAGCCAGAGCGAGAAAACACACCTAGAAGTGGCCTCTATTGTCTGGGACCCAAGGTATTACAGGGAATGTGCCTCAGGATGGTGTGCCAAGTGAACTGGTCACCGACAGTCAAGGCAGGAGCAGGTGTGGCAGAGGCGCAGTCCTCCCCCCAATGCTGTGGCAGGAAGACAGTGGTCCAGGTCCTTGCCATGCACAGACCAAGACTGGGGTCCATTTAGCTGAGACACTACATAGCAAAGCTGAGCTGGAGACTGTGTAGAAGTGAGAGACAGCAGACAGAGCCTTAGTGTCCCTTGGCCAGATAGAGGACACCAGGTCCAGTGACAATTCCAGGGAGATCTAGCAGTCAGAATCCAGATAGATAAGACCAGGGGAGCTGGCACAATGGTGGCAGTCCCCAAGGGTAGAGTGGTCGTTTCGACCACAAGCACTAGCAGCCTTGGAGGCTGCCCAGCTCGGAGGTCACTTCGCGTTCCGCCACTGTCTTGCTGCAGGACTTGAACAAGCCACCTGTGTGTCCTCTGCAGAGTAGGACTGCCACCGAGGATTGCCTTCAGCTTTTGCAAAGGTTGAATGAGTCTCACGCATGTGCATGCCTAGCAGAAGGCCCAGTGCCTAGCAGGTACTGGGAAGTAATTACATGTTCATCCACTTGCACTCCTGCATTCACCAACAGCTTTTGGTTTACAGTGCCCTTTTCCCTATATTCTCCGCATAAGGGCTCCATGGGAATAGGCAAAGGTCCTTATTCACAGACAGTAAGGAGGAACTCACGCCGCCTCAGGTGCACAGCAGTTCCAGGACAAGAGCCTGGGTGACCCAACTCCTTGTAGTGTTTCCAGAGAGCAGTACCATATCTTGTTCACCTTGGCATCCCTAGCAGAGATCCAGTAAATGTTTGTTGAGTGAGTATGTGAGCAAGCATGCCAGTGTGTGTGGGCTTGAGCAAGTGGGGGGTGAATGAATGCCTCGGCTCTCTGCTTCTCTGTGGCTTCTCAACCCTGTGGGGATGATAACCACATGGTCACATGCCCTGGCTATCCTGGCGGCCTACTGACCTGAGACCTGGCCATCTGAGCACTATTGTCTCCCCAGGAGAACAGTCTCAAGTCCGGGAAGGGGGCAGCTGCCATGATCCCAGGCCCACAGACGGTGGCCACGGAAATCCGTTCTCTTTCACCGGTAAGTAGGCAGGACCAGCTCAGGCTAGGGGACTCGAAGATGAGCATGCGGGCGTACGGCCACAGCAAGGGCTGTGAGGGGCTCAGGGCCATTGAAGATGTCCACAGGCTCCCCAAAGTGCCCATCAGTACCTCCCCCCATGTAACCAAAGCATTGGCATCAGGGCTGGAGGTAAACAGGACACCTGAGCACGCGTGTGCACAAGCGCGCGCGCGCACACACACACACACACACACACACGCACACGCACACGCACACGCACACGCACACGCATGCGCACACTGCTGCATCAGCTTGTAGAGCAGGAAGAGCAGGGAACTAGGAGTCCAGAGGCTCAGGTTCTAGGCCAGGCTCTGTTGATGGTTGCCCCACCAGTGACCCCGAGTCTGTCACCAAGAGGTCTTTTCTGGTGCTTTCGTTCTGTTTGTTAATGTCTAGTCCAGAGAGAGCATGTTCCTGCCTGGGACAGGGTGAGGGCCTAGAGGGCTCTGTCTGCTTCCTGGATGCATCTGGTCATTCTTCTAGGATTCTTCCATTCTAGGTTGTTGTTAGGACTCTGGGCCTTAGAGATTTCAAGTTCTAAGAGTTAAAGATCCCTGGGTTTGGGGATGTTCTAGGTCTAGAATTGGAAAGATTTGGTGGTATTGTATAAGGATGAATGTTTCAAAGCATCCTGGCTTCCACGCTTCACCTTCATGGGGCCCCTACTTATCCCTGGGAACGTTTCCCCAGCCCCGCCTGCCCCTTCAGAGCCTAGTGCCCTGACCTGACCCCCGGGGTGGGGGTGGTTATATTCTGCAGATCATCGGGAAAGATGTCCTCACCAGCACCTACGGCGCCACTGCGGAAACTCTCTCAACCTCCACCACCACCCATGTCACCAAAGTGAGTAGCAGCAGGCTCCCGGGCTCAGCGGGCCGTAGGTGGGAAGGTCATTGCCACGCTGACCCTTGGCTCCTCGTTCTCTAAGGCACACAGAGGGGACCTTCACCAGTCTGGAGTGCATTGCCCTGTCTGGGAGTAGGCCTTGCATGCAGCATTGGCAGCTAGTCTGTGGGGTCAGATGTTCTCCTCCAGAGGAATTGTGAACAACGATGTTTGCATCTTACAGGCCTTGGGAGCCAGGCAAATTTAGAAGGGTGATGTGCTGGAAGCTCCCCAAAGTCAGGAAGTGTCATTTGGAAAAAGTTGCCGTTTTACCAGGCCTCTAATCCCAGCTGCTTAGAAAGCTGATGTGGGGCTCAAAGTGCAGGCCAGCCTGGGCAACTTAGTGGAATCCTGTTTCAGATAAAAAGTAAAGAGGGCTGGAGCTATTTCTCAGTGGTATAGTCTTTACCTAGCAAGGATTTAGTCCTTGTCGATCATGGTACTGCTCTTCCTGCCCGCCCACCCACCCAAAAACAGAGAGAAGAGAATAGAGTTGGAGTGGGGTCCTGGGGCTAGCTGCAGAGTGCCCACCCCGCCCTGGGGGTAGAGCCCCAAGGATACAGCAGCTCAGCTAGGAGGAGGGGCGGAGACACCGGGTGTTGACCTCTGTTAAGCAAATGCTAAGTGAGCATCCACCTTCCGGACTCAGACTGCTGGAGGAGACCCAAGTGAGGTGTGTTTGTGGGAAACCAGGTAGCAGTGTGTAGATAGGGGACTGGGAAGTCAGGGTGCGCTCGGGGCAGGGAAGAGCAGAATGGGGGCAGATGAGTTAGGCACAAGGAAATTTCACTTAGGTAGTGAGTCGGTGAAAAGAGGTTCGCTGGAACTGGGGGTGAAGCCCAGTGGCTGGGGCTGTCTGATGTGCACAAAGCGCTGGATTTGATCCCCAGCAAAGCAAAGAAAGGGAAGCAGAGGAAGGAGGCCTTAGCCTGGGCGTGAGGGCCCGGGCCAGGGCGGAGTTGGGGACAGAAGAGGACATGCAGGAGGAGGAGGCATGCACTCCTAGGGGGTATCCACTGTGACAGTCAAGGGATTAAGAAAGGCTGAGAGGGAGGCCGCAGCAAGTCCACAGCTGAGTGACCGGGGAAAACAGGAGAGGCCCAGCCATGGCTGGAGGCCTGAGGAACCAGGCTGAGCCTGGGAGGTTGAGTTGAAGGTCCAGCTGACCCACCGAAGGGAAAGTCTGGCTGCTAACACTTTTCCGTTGTCCACACTACGGGAGGCCCTGCCTGCCACTTTGTACCTTTGGCACCTTGTTAAATTTCCCAGGAAGCAACCTCTCAAAAAACCTGAGCGAGCAGTATCGGTTTCTCTGCTGGTTTTATGGGAACGTCTCACACGGCACCCCCCCCCCCCCCCCAAGTGTATGGCTCAGAAAGAGCTCATCTGTACCTCACCACTCAGGGGCCCCGTCTCTTCACCCTTGCCTACCTTCAGCTAGGATTACCCTCTGTCACATCCTCCTGGAACATGCCAAACAGTTAGGCCCTGCCCATCCTCTACTTCCAAGCCCCACTCCTTGAGAAAACAAGAGCGGCAGTCAAGTATCTTTGTAAGATCGTTCCAGGTCATTTAAGGCCGAACCTTGTCACCATTCACATTTCATTCATGTGTTCATTCAACAGGTTTACATTCAGCACTGCCAGGTCAGATTGGGAAAGGTGCTGAGTGAGGGGGGGTACAGAGGGGGCCAAACTACAAGCCCCACTCTCCAGGGCCTGAAGCCTGGAGACGTGAGCAAGGCCATGTGCACAGAGGTCAGCACCACGCAGAGGCCCCAAACCATGAGAGATACAGAGTCGGTGTTTGGGGAGGGCCGGGACAGGATGCCTTGGGACCCTGCCAACCAAGGAGCGGCATCCAAGCTGAGTGTGGGGGACATCATTGGGACAGTTTGGTAGCCAGGGAGTGATGACAGCTGGCAGGACCTACTGTCTCCAGTCCTCCAGCTAGAAAAGGAGAATGCTGAGGAGGGCGGGGAAAAGGTGAACTCCCAGCTCTCGGCGAGGTCGGTTGGCTGAGGCTGAGGTGTGTAGGTCCGTCACAGCAGACCTAAGAGGGACCTCGCCTTTCTCTCCCCCTTCCTCTCCTCCTCTCTCCACAGACTGTGAAGGGAGGGTTTTCTGAGACAAGGATCGAGAAGCGAATCATCATTACCGGGGATGAAGATGTCGATCAAGACCAGGTATGGGGCTAGGGAACAGCATTCCCAGGCCCTCCCATTATGGTGACCTAGGGGTGGCTACCCTTCCGGGCAGAAAAGGCGTCCACCCCTTGCTGACCCTCAAGAAGGGGCATTGAAGGGGGGGCGGAAGGTTCAAGCTCTAGTCTCATCCTCTGTTTACCTTGGCCCCTCCTGGGCCTCAGTTTCCCCAGCTGTGCACTGGTGGCTTGTGTTCAGTTTCTGTCCTAGCCATGGACTGTGTACCTCACTGTGCTCTTCTGCCCACCAGGCCCTGGCTTTGGCCATCAAGGAAGCCAAACTGCAGCATCCAGACATGCTGGTAACCAAAGCTGTTGTCTACAGAGAAACAGACCCATCCCCGGAGGAGAGGGACAAGAAGCCACAGGTAAGGTTCTAGGGTTCAGCAGTGTGGGAGGGAGGAGAAAGCTGTAAAAAGAGTCTTAGGAGCTGGACAGTGGTGGTGCACGCCTTTAATCCCAGCACCCAGGAGGCAGAAGCAGGCGGATCTCTATGAGTTTGAGTCCAGCTTGGTCTACAGATCGAGGTCCAGGATAGCCAAGGCTACAACAGAGAAACCCTGTCTCGAAAAATCTGAAAAATAAAATAAAAATAAATAAGTAAATAAATTATAGCTGGATGTAGTGGGACACACCTTTAAGCCCAGCACTCAAGAGGCAGAGGCAGGCAGACCTCTGAGTTCAAGGCCAGCCTGGTCTACAGAGTGAGTTCCAGAACATCCAGGGCTACACGGAGAATCTCTGTCTCTGGACAAAAAAAAAAAAGGTTCTTGGAGAGTCATTTCCTTTGAGAGCCCAGGTGGTGTGATTGATAGAGCAGCTGTGACCCTCACCTACCTGGCTTATGGCTCCAAGGAGACAGGCGATGGCCCTGCTTCAGACCAAAGGAAGGAGCAAGAGAAGATGCTGTCTTGGTTTCTTTAGAGTTTCAGATCCCAAGACTAGCAAAGCCAGTCCACAAGTGGCAAGGGAAGGTGCTGAGGATCGACGGGACTGATGTATTGTAGATGGAGTCCCGGCCAATCTGGGTACCATATTCGCATCCCCGAGTCTGTCTCCATCAGGGTCATGAGATGCTGCTGAGGGAATGTGATGCCTAGAACCATTGATCCCATCTGTTTACAAACCCAAGACTTCTCAGGCCTCCAGGCCCAGGCTCCTGGGGACCCCAATAGCTTTCTGTTTCATTGAAGGCCATCAAGGTCTCAGATAATACAGTGCTGGGACCTATTGGGCTTCTCACAGCCTACTCTGGGGAGAGTTCTTCTGCCTCTCTGGAAGCTTGCTGAATTTTATCAGACATAGAAGACCAAAATTTCACTAACATAGGAAGTACCTATGTGTGACTGCATTCACTAGAAGTGAGTAGCAGGCAAAATTTTTATCCATTGGGCATAAATTAGAATAGTGCTACCTCTAGAATGTGCCAGTGAAGAGCCACAAGGAAATTTTCTAGGGGATGTTTCCAACTACATGGAGATACACATAGATAAGGTTTTTATGGCTGGGGTTTTAGCCTAACAATGGAGCAGATGTGTAGCATGAGTGAGGCACCGGGTTCCATCCTCAGCACCGCCTACCCTCCCCCCAATCAAGAAAAGTCAAGCTCTTATCGTTCTTGGGTCTGTGCACTGTGTACAGCCCATATATTATACTACAGTGGGAAACGGCCACCTCCAAGGCCCCACAAATAGCACCTGGTCATTCACCTCTTGGCCCTTTTCTTAAATCAGTGAATGTTTTCTAGAGCTGTACAAGAATTCTTCTTTTCCTTTGAGTTCCGACTTCTTAGAGGGAAAAGTGCTGGAGCGCTTTCCTGCCGTTTGGAAGGATGCTGACGCAGGGTCTAGACCCGTCTCATCTGAAAGAACGTCTGTGGTGGTGGCAGTGTTTCTCCTGTGTGGCCCGATATGACAATCACTGCCACATGTGGCTATTGAGTGCTTGAAATGGCTCATCCAAGATGAGATGTGCTTTAAGGGTAAATGTGTGTAGGGTTTTGAAGATTTAGTATGAAGAGAAAGTCAACTGAGTAATTTTGATACTTATTGAATGAGAAGGGTTAAGTAATAAATTAAGTAAATGTATTGAGTTAAGTAATATGATCGGTAGGGGTTTTGCTTCGTTTTGTTTTTGTTGGAGGCAGGGTCTCACATGGCATAGGTGGCCCTTGAATTGACTTTATAGCCAAGGATGACTTTGAACTCCGAATCCTCCTGCCTGTCTGTCTCTAGGGTTGAGATTACAGGCACCACCACTCCCGGTTTTATGCTGTGCTGGAAACCAAGGGATTTGCTGTGCACTGAGCAGGCCTTCTACTGACTGAGCTGCATTCCTAGAGCCGTTTGTTTCTTAAGGCAATGGAGAGCAATCCCTAGAACTTGGCACATACTAGCAAGTATTCTACTACAGTCCAGGTCCCCAGATATATTATTAAAATGAATTTCACTTGTGTCTGAGTCCCTGTTCTATTGCTGTGGAGAGACGCCATGATCAAGGCAACTCTTACAAAAGAAAACATTTAAGTGGGGCTTGCTTACAGTTTCAGGGATTTAGTCCATTATCATCATGGTGGGAAGCATGGCAGCATGCAGACATGGTGCTGGAGAAGTAGTTGAGAGCTACATCCTGATCCACAGGTAGCAGGCAGAGGGGGGGCGGGATCTGGGCCCAGCGTGGGCTTTGAAACCTCAAAGCCCACCGCTAGGGACACACTTCCTCCAGCAAGGCCACAACGACTCCAACAAATCCACACTTCCTAATCCTTATAATATCTTCAAATAGTTCCACTCCCTGGTGACTAAACATTCAAATATATGAGCCTATGAGGGCCATTGCTATTCAAACCACCATACATGTTTGCTTTTTATTAAGTTAAAATTTAAGTGTTGGGAAGATATCTCAGTCTGTAAAGTGTTTGCCATGCAATTGTAGGACCCGAGTTTGAGCCCCAGAATTTGAACTTGTGATCCCAGTGCTGGGGAGGGAGGCAGAGACAGGCAGGTGCCTGGGGCTTGCTGGCCAGCTGTTCAGCCTTGGTGAGCTCCCGGCTGCGGAGAGACCCCGCCTCACACAGACAGACAGACAGACAGACAGACAGACAGAAACCAATGTAGACAGATAAACCGCAGCACCTGAAGGTGACCTCCAATTTAAACACGCACATGCGTTCATGTGCACCTCACACACAGATGTGCGCGCACATGCACACACACATACACACACTAAGAATTTAAGATTTGAAAATTAGGACTGGAGAGATGGCTCAGAGGTTAAGAGCACTGGCTGCTCTTCCAGAGGTCCTGAGTTCAATTCCCAGCAACCACAGGGTGGCTCACAACCATCAATAATGAGATCTGGGGCTCTCTTCTGGCCTGCAGGCATACTGTACACATAATAAATAAATAAATCTTAAAAAAAAAAAAAGATTTGAAAATTAACATATTCTATTTACCTAAAAAAAGTTTTGAAAACTAGAAATTTCTAAGGTTTTTGTTTGTTTATTTATTTATTTATTTATTTTTGAGACAAGGTATCTCTGTGTAGCCCTGGCTGTCCTGGATCTCGCTCTGTAGACCAGGCTGGCCTGCCTCTGCCTCCTGAGTGCTGGAATTAAAGGTGTGGGCCTAGCTGAAATATCTAAGAATTTTAGTAATGATATCTAGAAAACTATTTTCTAGAGAAGTAAATCCTGCACGAAGCTCACATTCTATTTCCGTTGTGTGTTCTGACCTAGAAGGAGAGGAAGTTGGCCACGATAAACATTCTTGTCACCTTTTCTCAGACTTCCATGTAAATTGTTGTCACCCCAGTGACTTCAGTCATCTGATTATTCCTCTCCCCCAGTGGTGGAGGATAGGTCACTTGTCATGTTAGCGCAGAGTCGATGACATCCCCTGGGGAAGCTGCCGCAGAAAAGAGCCTTGTGACAGTCTGATCTGGAACCTCTACTGCGCAAGAATTACTATTTATTTACACTGGTCCTCGTGAAGTCCCTGTGTAGCTGCCCAGCTGGATGTAGGAGCCATGATGCTAAGAGCTCCGTCCTGGGGGATTCCAGAGGCCTAGCTCTGTAGCCATTCTGCTGACCAGTGGGTCAGTTTCTCCCATTACGGGGACTCGGTTTCATCCTTTGCCAAGTGAAGAGCTGAGGCATTTCTTTGTTTAATGCCATTGTCCCCAAGCACCATGGTGTACCCCAGTTTTCTCTTCTAGATCATTCTGTAAAGACCCGTTTTGTGTTGGCCTGGAGAGCCAGAAGTGGCCTTCTCTTTCCACACGCTTTGCCAGAAAATATTGCCAAGTAGGAGCCATCCCAGACTCTTAGTGGAGTCACTCCCACTAACCCTGGGGAGAGGTCTTTTCTGAATTAAACAAAAACAAATAAAACCCTGCTTCCTAAGGTGCTTGAAAAACACTGGCTTAATGGATAGATGCATCTTGGTACCCCCAAAGAAGAGCCCCAAAGTCCTACAGCCCTGAATTCAAATCTCAAGCTCTCCTCTTTTTTTTCTCTCCCTACCCTTTTTTGGAGATCTGTTTTGCTGTATAGCCCAGGCTGCCCTTGATCTCAATGTCTTCCTTCCTGGCCTTCCTAAGAGCTGGGATTCCAGGCAGGCACGATCACACCCAAGTTCAGGTCTTCCGCTCACCAGTTCTGTGACTGTAACACACTATTTAACCCTGACATCCGTGTTTTCTTATCAGCTAACGGGTACCAGCAATCCTGATAGTAGTCGTTGCCCTAATTCACGGGGTGCTTCCGCTATGCCAGGCACCAGGCTTCATACTGTCTGCTCATTCGTTTTACAAGTGAGGAAACAGATGCTCAGAGACCTTAACTGCCTTGCCCGTAGCTACGGTGCTGGGGACGTGATGAACTGATTAGAGGCAAACCTAATGTGTCAAGACTCCCAAGCCACCCGTGTTCCTCACCACACTGACTTCCCATGGTCTCTGTCTCATAGAGCTCGTACATGTATGGTAATTACCATAGTGCCTGGCACACAGTAAGCATTCCATAACAGGCAAGCCAGTCACTACTGTTAGTTATGGTAGGCTATCAATGGCTGCCCTAAATCAAGAAGAATGACTTGTTATGTACAGTATCGTTTAGGTCCCCCTGGCCCATCCCCCTCAGAGAAGATCTCCCAAACACTGCCAGCAAGAGAACAGCACTCACTGGGCCGCGGTGGTGTATGCCTTTAATCTCAGCACTCAGGAGGCGGAGCCAGGCAGATCTCTGTGAGTTTGAGGCCAGCCTGGTCTACAGAGCGGGATCCAGGACAGGCACCAAAACTACACAGAGAAACCCTGTTTCGAAGAGGGAGAGAGACAGAGAGAGAGAGAGAGAGAGAGAGAGAGACAGAGAGACAGAGAGACAGAGAGACAGAGAGACAGAGAGACAGAGAGAGAGAACGAGAACAGCACTCACCTGGCTGCCTCCAGCTTCCTCATCTTCCCACATTTACCTATGTCGGGGAAGGGATTGACCTGTTTCAAAATAGAAACCTTAGGTTCTCACCTTCATCCTACCACCAGCTTGCAAAACCATCAGCCTTCCGGGCATCAGTTTTCCTCTCAGTCAAATGACCTAAGAAGGACTCTTTTACGACACTTTGATTATACTTGATCCTGTGTGAGTGACAAAAGTCAGGAATGCTATTCCATGCACAAAATGGTTTTGAGTAGTTGCCAGTAGTGAAGGTACTAAATGGTAGCCCTTGCTGTTGGGGAAGTGGGGCAGGGGCTGTGATGGAGCAAGCAGAGCAACAAGGCATTTATTTGTTTAGCATTCCGATATGTTAGGCCCCTTTGTGGTGCCCTCTCTACCTGTGTAAGGCAGGTCCTATTTTATAGAGAAACAGATGGAGGTTTGGAGGGGTTGAGACACTCGCCCACAGTTACAGAGCGGACAGGCTAGGGGGTGGGATTTGAACCCGAGAAGTGTGACTGCCGAGTTCATACTCTTAAACGCTGAGTTCTATAGGTAGCCCTTAGTTGGGATCCAGACCCTGGTTTTTCCTTAAGCGCTGCTGTCTGGCATTTAATCTGCGGGCCACAGCAGGTCCGTGGGGGATAGAGGACCCGCAGCCAGGGGAAGCAGCCACAGAACTGAGAAGAGCAAGGGAGAAAAGTAAAACGATGGTGACTGCAGCATCTCCACAGTGAAGGACCATTTCAAAGACTTTGAGACCAAAGTACAAGGCATTGCCTCCTCCGGACCAAGCACACATGGACTCCAGAGTTAGGTGCGTTTGCTAAGGTCGGTCCTTAGCTGTCAGAAGTAAGCTGTGTGGCCTTGGATAAGTCACTCTTGCCCTCTGGGCCATGATGCAGGCCAAAGGGTAGCTGGAAGAACTGCTTGCCGTGTGTTTAGAGGCGAGTGGATAAAGTAACTAATTTCCCTTCTCTTCCTTCCTTTGTTCCCACCATCCCATTCCCCTGCCTCTGGCACCCAGGAATCCTGACCTCCGTGAAGAGATGCTGGCGTGTCTGGTCCAACCCAAGCCAGAGAACCATTAAGAAGGGGCCTTCATTCTGGATTCTCCGACACCACCAACATCCCAGCCGCGACGTACTGTCACTGATGAGAGACTGGGAAGGGAAAGCATATATATATAGATATATATAGATATAGATATATATACAGGAAACACCGCGTCCGTGCGCGGCTGCTGGGCTGGCGGAGCGGGCAGCCGACGGCGACAGCCAACATCTGCAACAACCTTCATTTCCTTTGCAGACAAATCGAATTGGTGGATTTTTTTGTTTTTCCAGGAAAATATGTAACAATCATAATGTCCCTCTCCCCCACCCCTTTCTCCTGCCAAACTACAAAAGCAGACCATGATGATTGTAGATGTCCCCGTGAGCCCCGGCTGCACACACTCCAGGATGGGCGGGCACCCCATTTGTTCTCCAGCCTCTGTTGCTCCTTCTGATGCAAAGGAAGAAGAAGAAAAAACAAGAAGATCACGTAGCCAAGCAGGAGAAGTCAGAGCAGCAAGACATGCACAATCAACTGTTTTCCAAGAAAGGAAGAATGGAAGTCTCCCCCTCGGAGGGGGAGGGGAGGAGCACTCAGTTGTTATCTTCTGGGTCTTGACCCTGGGCTGTGAAATCCTCTCTGTTCTGCCTCCCGCTTCACCCTTGACTCCTGCTCATCTTGTCTCCATTTTCTGTCTCAGCTCCCTCCTGCCTCTCTCCCCTCCTCTTCTGTGTCCTGGTCCTGTGAGGGCCACTGCAGATGACTCTCAATGGCAGAAAAAAGAGACTGCAAGAGCAACAGGAAGCCATGGGAAGGGAAGTAGACGTTGTATGTTTCCAGTTTCTCATGACGGAGGTGCAGCTCGTAGGAGATTGTATGACTGTGATTTTAAGTTATGTATATTACATGTAACAGGAAACAAATATTAAAATAAACTGTGCTGGTAAGTATGCAGCTGACATTTTCAAGTTATAATTACCTGACTGTGATGTATCCCAAGGTTCCTAGATCTTGCCAAACTGGCCCAGCCAAGGACACTGGACTCTGGGTGTGGCCGGCTCCCAGTAGGGCTGACAGATTCAGTGTAGTGAAACTGTGTGTGGTGTTTGTAACTGGGTGATTGGTGGGGAGACTGGGGGGCCCTCCGTGGAGAGGTGAGGGTTCAGCCGGAAGGAAGCAGCACAGATGTAGTCCCGAACATGCCAGGCCGAGATGCCTTCTCCCCCAGCAGTAGCCGTCCGGGGCCTGGTCTGTGCTCAGGACCCTGCTGCTGAGGTCATAGGTCAGTCCTACCTCCAGGGGCTTGCCTTGGTTTTCAGTCCTCTCTTTCTGTTGTACTCTTACCAGGGTCTGTTTTGGTTTGTATTCCGCCATGTCTTACCCCGCTCTTCATGCCTCGTCACAGTCAGCCCCTTCTCCTAAGGGAGGTGGTGCCCTGGCTGAGGTAGAAAGCAGCGACTCTTCTCACCTGGTTTTCTGAAATGCCCAGCCAGTCTTCCCGCCCTGCCTCTTCCATCCTATGACTCATTCTCTTCTTCCTGAGCTAAAGTAGCCATGATAAACAGGCCAGGAACACAGGGAAGGCCAGGATAGGCCCATACTGCATTTCCAAAGGCCTCCCCTATCCCAGAACAGTAGCAGGTATGAGGAAGTGCTGCCCACTGGCTCCTTCTGCCTTAGACCCTGGCTTGCAAGGCTTCTGTCAGTCGGTATCCAAGCTCGGAAACGGCCTTGAGATGACAGGAGCCTCTGGAGAAGGCCCACCACAAGTGTGGCATTGCGCGCTGGCATATGCAGGCTTCTGGCCTACTTGCCACCAGCAGGGTCCCTCTCTGAGCGACAGTGTCCTACAGCAATCCCGTTTTCACTCCCTGGTCCTGCTAAGGCGGTTGGTGTATTTATTCAGCAAATGTTGATGAGTTGCCTGCTTGTGCCAGGCTCTGTTTTCAAGGTGGAAGGAGACGCGTTAAAGGGGGTGGGGCACTGGGGAGCCACTGGACAAGCCTGTCCTTAACCATAGCTGGCTCATGTCAGAACACTTCTCCACTCTCTCCATCGGCTTGTCTCTAAAGGGCCCGGTTAGATGTGCCCTCCTGGCCTGCTTATTAGTTACTCCCATGATGTACACCTTACCTACTTTCAGGTGCTGGCCTGACGCAGGGCAAGAAGCTAGAATGCTTTTCTCTCTGTGGCAGTTGAGAAGTAGCACCAGGCTCTCAGAGAGCAGAGATAGCCATATGTCCCTGGTGCAGGCTGGTAGGCCCACTACACCCCAGTGTGACAGAGCATTTTCTCTGCTCCGGGGTCTTTGTCCATTCTTGATGGAGAAGCCACAGAACCTCCCGCCCACCCTTTCCAACATGCAAGCTCCTGCTGCTTCTGAGCCAAGGGCAGGAACGGCTCTATCCCCTTGGAATCGGGCTCAGGCCTCCCCTGCCTCTGCAGGGACTCCAGGGCCTGCACACACTGGACACACATACCTCAGAAGGAGGATCTTTGTTCCCGGGGTTGTACCTGCCCTCAATGTGGGCTACGGGGCAAGGATGAAATGACCCAGCTTAGCTTGTGGGATGTTAGAATTTGAGGAGATACTCACTCCATGCATGTTCTGACCTTCCCCCCCCACCCCCCCCGAGAGGTGGTCAGCACCCTGCCCAGGGAGGAGGGGACCTGCAAAGCTAAAATCTAGGGCACTGTTTCCTCCTCAGCCTCCACTCCATAGAGAATAAGGACCTTGTCTTGTGTGTCTTCAACCTGTTTTTTTTCTCTTTGCTTTGTATGTGTGTGTCTCATCTTTGCTGTGGCACCTCTCTATCCAGGAGGCCAGGTAACCCAGTGGGAAACACTTCAGAGAGCAGTCAGAGTTCTGGGTGAGCATTTAGATGCAGCTCCTAACTCACCAGGTGGCATGGGCTACTCCATCCCACTTAACTAACCGAGCAGGGCCAACTAGTTGCACCCTGAGCCTTTGCCCCGCTCCGCGTCTCGCGCCCCTTTATTTTCCCTGCCTTTGCTTTCTGTGGATCTTTTCCATGTGAGGGTACAGGAAGTGCCAGGACCTGTTTCCGTTTTTGAATCCTGCAAGCACATACCAAGACTGGCCTGAGACTGCATGAGCAACATCACTCTAAATATATATTTTTTTTCAAAAGCACCTTACCAACCAACTGCAATGCTGTCCTGTTCCTTTTTACCCCCCTCTTGTCCCCACGCCTCCCCCACCAGTGCTCCGTGCTGTATGCGTGTGCTCTCTGTTCTTGTATACTCAATAAAAGTGAAATAAATGTGTTTGATGCTGAACCATGGACTCCCTCAGCCTCCCTTGTCTCCCGCCTTCCTCTCTCCTCTCTGCCCTTGGCTGCTGGCACAAGCTGATAGAGAACTGGAGTGGAGACATCCCAATGTAGAACGCTTTTTTGTTTTGTTTTGTTTTTAAGACAAGATCTCACCATATAGCCTTAGCCTGGAACTCGAAGAGATTCTCCTGCCTCTACCTTCCTAGTGCTGGAATTAAAGGCATGCACCAAGCCAGGCTTTACTAGAGAACAATTTTAATCAACAAAGTCTGCAGTTCCCACTGTGGTCCAGTGGCCTTGGCTTAGGGTCTGTGGGTTCAACGGCACCTGGGGGCAAAGTCCTTGCTGGTGAAGGGCTCTCAGGCCAGTGGAGGAAACAGTGGGATGAGAAAGGCTGGTTGGAGAGATCACACTAAGAGGGAAACATGGAGGAAGCAGTGGAGGTCATTCTGAAGGGGGTCACTTTAACAAGGCCAAAGGTGAGAGTGTAGCTCAGTGGTGGAGTGTGTGCTTAGAATGTGTGACACTGTGTGTGGTCCCCAGCGTCACAAAGGGAAAAACAGTAGTTGGCCAGAAGGAGGTCATTTTTGAGTTGAATAAAGAGAAAGATCCAGTAAGGTGGGAATCTTGGATAAGAATGTGGTAGGCAGAGGGGACAGTTTTGTATGTAGGTCCCAGGACCTGGAGTGGAGGTGTAGCAGAATTCATCTGAAAGAAAAGAGCAAACCCCTGTATGGGAGCCTTGTAAAACGTGCCCAGCAATCCTGTCACGTGCTCCACACCCTCATACCACCCGCCCCGTTAGTGACTTAACTTTTCTTTAAAGTGACTCGCTTTGAAAACATTTAAGAAAGGAAATGGGGGGCTGGAGAGATGGCTCAGAGATTAAGAGCACTGACTGCTCTTCCAGAGGTCCTGAGTTCAATTCCCAGCCACCACATGGTGGCTCACAACCATCTGTAATGAGATCCAGTGCCCTCTTCTGGCCTGTAGGCACACATGCTCTATACATAATAAATAAATAAATAAATATAAGAAAGAAAGGAAGGAAGGAAGGAAAGAAGGAAGGAAGGAAGGAAGGAAGGAAGGAAGGAAGGAAGGAAGGAAGGAAGGAAGGACGGACGGAAGGAAGGAAGGAAGGGAGGAAACGGGACTGGCAAGATGACTCAGCAGGTAAAGATTTAGCCAAAGTGTTCACCACCAAGCCTGACAACCACCCCAGTCCCCTCAGAGTGGAAGGAGAGATCTGAGTCCTGCAAGTTGTCCTCTGATCTTTACGTGTACATCATGGCACACGTGCTTCCCTAGACAGACAGACAGACAGACAGACACACACACACACACACACACACACACACACACACACACACACACCATAAAATGTTCAAAAATAAAAACAAAAACGGCTAGGGATGCAGCTTGCCTAGCCTGCACTAGGCCTTAGGTGCAACCCAACACAACACAACACTGCTGCAAAAATTAATAATTAAAAAATAATTCCAAAGGAAAATAACCAGTGCCACTTGCCAAAGAGAAGAATGTCCACAGAAATAAGTGGAAAGGGCTGGGGGAGGATAGTAAGGGGGGGAGGGCTGGAGGGGGGGGGAAGCAGTACAGTACTTGTCCCGCATGCATGCAGCCTACCACTGAAATGCAGCCTACCACTGAAAGAAAGCAAGGAATAAAGATTAAAATTAAAATCATAATTATGTAAAATCTAAATTTATTCCTTGGGTCACCTAAGGTACGCATTCTACATTTTCCACTTTATTCTGTCAAGAAAATCACCCAGGTCACCCTTTTATATCACTCCAAACCTCACAAAACAAGTCTTTTTTGTTTTGTTTTGTTTTTGAGACAGGGTTTCTTTGTGTAGCCCTGGCTGTCCTGGAGTTTGCACTGTAGACTGGGCTGGCCTTGAACTCAGAGATCTGCCCGCTTCTGCCTCCCGAGTGCTGGGATTAAAGGTGTGCTCCCTCACTGCCTGGCCAAAACAAATCTTTTTTTCCACATACGTTTATTTTTCGGGGTCATCTGTACATACCATTCTAAATACTTTTTAAAACTTACATTCTGAACATTTTCCTATCATTTCAGATACTATTACTGTTTTTCTCTGTAAAGCCAGTTCATTAAACGATACGAAGGCTACACAGTGAAAAGAATCCAGTCTTCCCCAGAGTCCTGTTTGTTGTGAAAGGCAATGGCTACAAGGAGGTCTGTGAATGTGTTCCCGAACTCTCCTTGTAGATTTCTTTTAATGATCGATACTTTTGGGATCCTGGAATAGGACTTAGTTTACAAACATTAGGACTCCACACCTCCTGGGCATGTAAAACTAGTTAGTCTCTCTGCTTCCAGGGAATGACTGGGATAGTTCATCTAATCAGTGTTTTTCTCAGCTTGGGTTGAAGAGGGCGATGAAGCAATTTCTAGAGACATTTTTGTGTCACGGTTGTCCAGTGTTCTATGAATTGGAGCCTCAGTTTGCTGCTAATCTTCCAATGCACAGAACTATTGGCAACCAAGAGTACCAATGGTGCCAAAGTTGTGACATTGTGATTTGGATGAACCTTGTTCACAAAGTTGGATTCTCAGGCCACCATCTTCATATCCTACAACTTTTGTGTCCAGTGGTAAATGCCCCAAGTCTCTGAAAAGATGGCGAAGTCACCTGGAACAGGAAGCCCAGAGACCACACCACAGAGCTCAGCTCCGAAGATGGCAGCCAAGAGGGGAGGGGAGGAAGCTGAACTGCTTCACAAGGAAAATGAAACTGACAGGGCGGGCTGAGATCGATGTGCCTGATGATGAACATCGCCTCTGGCCAACCTTGGGGCAGCCCAATGTGATTAACCATGATCGCCCCATCTAGCCTGGTCCGAGATGATTCAACCTCCTAAGAGATGAATTGTGAAATTGTGAGTGGAACAGATTGATGGATTCAGCGGTCACTGTGGAAGTATGACACACAAGGAACAGCAGCACAGGGACCAGAACTCCTGCTAGATCATGTCTTACACCCTAGTTCTGTTCTCTGGGTCTGTAGCCCTTCTTTGAACCTCGGCTTAATCTTTTGTTGATTGAGAATACTAACTACCAAATTTTCATCCCCATCCCGGGTCATTTTTCTTTGTTAGAATTGTAGCACTGGCAATAAGACACATTTAGCAGCAAGGGAGATTTATTCCTGGTTAGGAACAGAAATGGGAGATAAACTCAAATCAACTTCTTGACTGATTGGGGTTAGGGAGATGGAGATATAGTGCAAAAGAAATGAGGCTAGTTGGGGGACTTGAAACCTTTCTGGGAATGGCAGGGGTTTTCCAGCAATTTGGGCACTGCTTTTATGGGTCCTTTTAGTTGACAATTGTCATAGTGCTGGAGTATGCCACTTAGAAGGATGTTAACAAAGTTGGAGGTTATCTGTCTTTTGCTCTGTCAGCCATCTTAGATGTCAACCAATTTTGGTAAACTCACCTGAAGAAGAGGTTGAAGCCTTTAAAAATTCTGTCTTCGAAGATAAACAAGATTACAACAGGGTAGGAAAACAGGTAGGTAAAGTCAGCAGTACAAGATTAGGGGAGTGTCATACGTTGGCTATGGTTAGTGTAAAGATTAGAAATAGTGTCCAAGTAGCCTACCCTATAAATTTTGGTACTGGTTAGCTAGCCCTCACTATCACATAAGGCAATTCTTTGCAATATATGACTTATATCTCCTAGTGGCTGTGGGACCTAGCGCAAGGCCAGGACTGCAAATAGTCATTTACTCTACCATCTATTGTCATTAGTAATTAACACACAGTATATCTAAGATAGCTAGCTATGGGCTAGGTTCTAAAGAAATAGTGAAGAAAAAGACAGGCAGGTTTCCTTACTCAATGTGCATTTATAGTTTGCCTGTGGTATTCTGTTAGGTCTGCAAGACACTGGGTGATCATTGTCAGACAGACTGCTGTGGGCTGTGGAAGGAACTGGTTCTCCCTTCAGGCAACAGGCACGGTTTCTGAAACTCTACCTAGGGGTGAGTGTGTCTAGAAGCTGGGACTGGATGGTAACAGTGCATCTTTGACACTGTGCCTGGCATAGTGATGTGGCTAAAGAAGCCGAGGCTAACCGTGGCTACTGGGAGCCACCACCTGGACCGTGCCTTGGTACCCCTGTCTGCTTGAGACCAAAGGACTGTGGCTGGTGAGTATGTTTCTGGAAGGGGATAAAGTGCGTAGTTTAATTAAAATTGTTATCCACGATTCAGGCGGTAATATGAAACACTAAGAAGAAAATGCAGTGCTTTATCAGTAGGAACCTGCGAGCACGGGCCATTTCTTGTGCGACCTGGGACTCCGCCCGACCACTTTTTCCGTAACACCTATCCGGTGCCCAAGCCGCCGAACTTCCGTCCCGTTTCCGCGGAGCCGGAGCGTGAGGCTACGTGGTGAGTGTCGGTTCTTGGCGCCTCTTTGGTCCTCTGGTTTCGTTGTGTGTGACCAGGTCACCTCGCTTCTCGGCTCAGAATCACAGAGTGCACTTAATTAGGCCCCTGTCTCCGAGCCGGGCGAGTTTGTGGGCCGGTATCTCACGAGGCCTAGCTCTCCGAGGACCCGTCAGGCTTCCCGGCGCCCACGAAGTAACTTTTCCCCCCCTTTATCTGTAGAGCTTGGAGACCAGAGACCTTATCCTCACTCGATCTGGTTCTGCTCCCCTCTCTGCGTGGCCTCCGGTAAGTCATCCACCGGCCTCCTGGCTTTATTTAAATGTATATTGTATTTTATTAAATAAAACTTTTAAGCATCGCGTCTGTGCTTGGGACGTAGGACTCAAGTCTTGTGTTTATGACAACCCTCAATCAAGCACACAAAGTTACACACCTGTCACTGGAGTGGACCGACAACAAGGCACCCGGAGTATAATCACAGAATACTTGACAAAAGTCAGGAAAATTATTTGACAAAAGTTTTTAGGTAGTTTTCTCTGGTTTGAGGGTCAGAAAGAAGCCAGTGTGGCTGGACCAGTCCTTGGGAGCGAGGATGGTATTAAATAAGCTGGAGTTGCCAAGGGTAATTCATGCAGGGTTTTCGAGGCATAGTAAGAATTTTATGTTCCCCAAAGACACATGAGGAGAGAGAGAGAGAGAGAGAGAGAGAGAGAGAGAGAGA